TAACCATCATTGGTTGGTGGTAAATTAACAATGAAGCCATTTCTTCCTTCTTGGCTTCTAGCTGTTTTAATAAGGTAAATTTCCAGAGATCTGCCTTTAATACTTCAAAAAGTTTAGTAGTTCATGTATTGAGGGCAGGTTTTGAAAGCATAAAAATCTCATGTTCCTCTTCTTTGTCTCTGCAAGAAGGGCCAGTTAAGAATTCTGACACTAGGGGCTGGGAAGTTGGCTCAGTGGTAGAGCGCTTGCCTTGCATGCATGAGGCCCTGGGTTCGATTCCTCAGCACCACATAAGCAGAAAAAGCTGGAAGTGGGGCTGAGGCTCAAGTGGTAAAGCGCTAGCCTACAGCTGAAGAGCTGAGGGACAGCGTCCAGGCCCAGAGTTCAGGCCCCATGACTGACCCCCCCAAAAAAAAAGAATTCTGACACTAAATAGTATGATCCCTTATAATAAAAAAGAAAAGAAAAGAAAACTTTCATGGCAATAACAAGCAAAAAGCCAGAAGTAGAGCTGTGGCTCAAGTGTTAGAGCATCAGCCTTGAGCAAAAAAGCTAAGGGACAGTGCTCAGGCCCTGAGTTCAAGCCCTAGTACTGGCCTAAACAAACAAATATAATTAACTAATTAATAAAAGTTGTCAGTGAAGAATACTTTTAATTCTTTGCCTCTACCCCAGCTTTGTGAGTCTGAGCCTGTGGCAGGGAGACTGAGGCTCAGGAGCCTCATTAGGTCCCAGTGCAGCAGCTCAGCTCACTTCACATTGCTGCTAGATTTTTGTCTCTCCTAGCCTTTCTCTGCTTTCCACTCTACCCATCTCCACAAGAAAATCCTCTTCTCAGGCTGGGAAGGTGGCTCAGTGGTAGAGCACTTGCCTTGCATGCATGAGGCCCTGGGTTCGATTCCTCAGCACCACATAAGCAAAAAGAAAAAAGCCGGAAGTGGCGCTGTGGCTCAAGTGGTAGAGCGCTAGCCTTGAGCTGAAGAGCTGAGGGACAGCACCCAGGCCCAGAGTTCAGGCCCACGACCGGACATTAAAAAAGAAAATCCTCTTCTCAAATGGAACTTTTTCTGAGTTTTTATATTTTTTAATTGAAATCAATATGTCCCAAATCATTTAATGCATTTCCTAAAAGTGTTTCTCTGAAACCATTTTGCTCATTGGTGGAATTTAACTCTGAATTTAAATTTTAAAAAACAACAGAAAGTGCACAGCATTGGGTTTTTTTTTAATCCAAACACTTGGTTTTGGATTGCCCTTACTAAAATTAAAGTTGAAGAGCACATTCATGATTACAATTTTTGATTATTTAGACGGTGCAGCCTATGGAGCTTCAGAACAGCCTGACTTCGCACAAAGCCAGTAAAATTGGGCGCCTACAAATCAAACATGGCACTCTTGTTCTTTTTGTTCTGTGATAATTTGTTTGGTCACCTTTTGGTTCCTCCAGTGGATCTTTATTAAAGAGCTACTGTGTGCCAGGTGCTGTGCTCCAGCCCTGGGAGGTGGTGATCATCAGAGCTGGTGATGAGGATGAGAAGGACCCCAGAAACAGCTCCCAGGGCCTGAGTGATGGGATGCTAGGAGGGGTCCAGTGGAACAGAAAAGATGCTCAGGGTTTGAATACTGGGATTTGAACCCCAGGGAAGGCATTGGCCTCTTTAGTATTCATTGTAGGCGGAGTGGGGATCAGAGCCTTAGAAGACTTCCAGAAGTATTTAGGCAAAGGAGTGAAGGCTTACAAGTGATGAAGGGTTTGCCAGTCTGCCTGAAGGGGGCAGGCAAAGGGAAATGGCTGGACTGTGTGTCTTTTAGAAATGGCTATTCATCATTATACTGAGACACAGGTATGTGTGGCAGCAGGGGCAGGAGGTGAAATGAGGTTAAGGCCAGAGGAAGGGCTCAAACTAGGGCAGTGGCTAGGCAGGGACGGAGCAAACACATTTAGAAGTTTGACTTATCCAGCTTGAGAGAAAGCTGAGCTTGAGAGAGGAATTGAAGTTACTCTTGGCTTCTGGTTAGAGTGACCAGAAGGCCCAGGCAGGGGGCAGAGGGAGAGAGTAGGCGCTACCCTTATTGGCAACTGTCTTCCTTTTCAAGCTCCTCCTCCCCGACTGGGCCCAGACCCTATCTCTTCTTGTTCTCGCTTTTGGTAGCTCACCAGGTCTGTAAATTTAAATGTGATCTGTAAGTTGACAGCCCCCAAATTCTCAGTCCTTCTCAGGCATCTCTTCTTAGCCGTAGACTGCAGCATTCAGCTTGTCTCAGTGTCTGTCCCCACTTTGCCTCACAGGCCCCCCCACACTCACCCAAGCCCATTTCCCTCCTTGTCTTACCCATGATCTCACCCTCCAGCCACTCCATTGTTCAAGCCAGAATCCTAGGAATGATTCTGGCCTTCTTCCTAAATCTTAAGCAATTTTAAAAGCTAGTGGATCCACCCTTGAATCTCCTCTGTCCTTCTCCTCTGTGATCCCCTTCTGTTTACTCTGTGATACTCTCTGGGTGCATTCTGCCATCATCTCTTGAGGAGCCTGGCCTTGTCACTCATGTCCTTCTTGCCCCCTACCCCATCTCCCACTTGTGCTGCTGCCACTGACTGGCATTAGGGAAATCATCAATAACACTTAACCAAAAAATTTTCTTTTAGCATCCTGTTCTTTCAGTGCATTTCTGCTACTTGTAATGTAAATGTATTTCATGTCTACTTCATTTATTCACTACCTTATCTGTGTGGAGCATGTGCTAGGAGCAAGGACTTAAAGTTGAGTGAAAGCCAGCAAGCTGGGCATTTCACAAGAGCATGTAGAGGGCCAAGGCATCTTTATGACTTGCTGGTGGGAGAGAATCGTGGATTTCGTGACTGGTGCTGGGTAGTTATGTATATGTAGAGTTCTGAGATCTCTTGGCTCGGAAGTCAAAAGACCAGTGTCTGTGCTGGTATCTTGACATATTCCAGAAAGAGTTCAAATGAGTTGAACTTGGGTCCCAAGAATGTACCATGATATATAGGAAAAGTGGGAGAGAAGTCACCACGGATTGTGAGATTGAAGGAACTAGAGGCAGATAGGGTACCAGAGAAGTTGAGGTTCATTTAAAAAGTTGGTTGTGGAAAGAGGTTTTAGAATACTGCAATGAATAAATAAATAAATGAACCAACCAACCCCTGTTGGAGGCGCAGCTCAGCTGGTAGAACATCAGCCAGTGAGCAAAAGGGTCAGGTATGGAGTTTGAGTCCCACTCGCAGACCTAATAAGAAAGTAAAGAAATCGAATTCTGTAGCAATGGTCAAAAGATGAACCAAGTGAAATGAACCCTGGTGGCTTAGCAGTAAGTGAGCATGGCCTGTGATGGTACTGAGCAGGAAGGAGGAGGTGAGCAAGAGGCCAGTGTCTGCACAGTGGGAGAGAGTGGGGAAGATGTGGAGTATGTGAACCACTCTAAAAAAGAAAATGGCTCTGGCAGAGTGACTCCAATGGTAGAGCACCTACCTAACATGTACCAGGCCTTGTGTTCAAACCATAGTATTACTGAAAGAATCTGGGACCAAGAAGGCTAAAAGAGAAATGGGTGGATGCAGGATCAAGGGAAATGCGTTGCTCATAGGAAGTACCAGTTTTTGCTGGGATGAGTGACAAGGGAAAATTTGAAGCCTCAGGAAAGATGGTAGACAGACTCGAGTGCCAAAACCAGAAGAGTAACTTTGACACTCCACGCTTGAGTCTGGAGGCTCCTCACTGGAAGCATCGTTTGCATGTGTGGATCTGGAAGCTACATGGCTCTTCTTTGTTCTTCTCTAACCTTCATTCCAGACCTGCCTAACCTGAATAGGTATCTTACCTCTCGAGGTCACGGCTTTCTCTTCTGCAAAAACCCCAATGGAGAGTCTACACACAAAGCCCTTCACTCAGTGCCAGGTCCCCCACATGCTTCTGTCATGAGAATCAAATGAGTTTCAGCAGTGTGTTGCATTCATTTAAGCTTTTTCAATGAGAGCATGCGCACATTATGCACTAACGGTGCTGGTTGCTGGTGCACTGTTTGTAATCTCCTTGTTAGAAGTGTTATGTCTATGTTGAACATGTAAAAATATCAGCTGCTTGACTAATGGGATGTCTGAGAGGTTTAACCATTGTCCATATAGGAAAATTAAGCGTTGCTACTTTTCATGCATTTTTGTCCTTGAATATGTGCTTTTATGTATGTGCTGATAAGAAGGCTTGAACACAGGGCCTTGGAATTGTCTCTTAGCTTTTTCACTCAAGGCTGGTGCTTTAACATTGAGCCACAGTTCTACTTCCAACTTTTTGGTGATTAATTGGAGACAATAGTCTCACAGACATTTCTACCTGGGCTAACTTTAAACCAAGATCCTCAGATCTCAGCCCTCCTGAGTAGCTAGGATTACAGGCATGAGCCACCAGCGCCCAACTAATGTGTGTGCTTTTGAGACAGATAGCTGAAATTTCCACATTGTTCAAAATCAAACTGATGCACTTTAAATCTCCCTACATTTGTTCCTAAAACTCAATTGACTTTTTCTTCTTAAACTCTAAAGACTAACCAGAGATAACTGAGCATATTATTGATCAGATTTCTTCAGTGACATATTTTTGTGCATATTTTGAGTCAATTCCTATTTGGAGACATCTCATAGTATCTGTTTGTGTATCAATAATGCCAGCCAGCAATCTTCCATGTACCAAATAACTGCAGACCTCCGGGGCAGAATGTTAGCACAGTGGATTCTGAACGTAGCTCGACAGAGGGCACCTGCAGATGTGGGGTGTTGGGGCTCACAGCACGGCGATCTCCTGCCATATAAGTGTGTGGCTGTTAGTTCACGGCTTGTGCAGTGAGTGTGTAGATATGCGGACTGCCTTACCTATATGGCTCCTCTTATCATTTGTTCACAAAGCTTGTGCTGCGCACTCTCACTGTTTTCCCTGTCTTTGGAAGAGTCACACTGGCTCACACTCCTTTCCCTTGTTTCTTCTCTACAGTGGATCGTATTGTGGGTCTGGATCAGGTCACTGGAATGACTGAGACAGCTTTTGGCTCCGCATATAAAACCAAGAAGGGCATGTTTCGGACCGTTGGGCAACTCTACAAGGAGTCCCTCACCAAGCTGATGGCAACTCTCCGGAACACCAACCCCAACTTCGTTCGCTGCATCATTCCCAATCACGAGAAGCGGGTATGTGTGAGCCACACAGACACTAGCGTTGAACGCTGATGGAGGTCATGTTACGAAGATTAAACTAGAGCACTGTTGTTTGCTTGATCAGGCTGGAAAACTGGACCCACACCTTGTGCTGGATCAGCTGCGTTGTAACGGCGTCCTAGAAGGAATCAGGATCTGCCGCCAAGGTTTCCCCAACCGGATAGTATTCCAGGAATTCAGACAGAGGTAGTGCTCACTTTCACTGTCTTCCTGAGTGTATCAGCGCTTGTCCTAATGTGAAGGAAAAGGATGATGTGATGAGGAAGCGTTTTCCCTCCTCCCCAGAAGGTCCAGTTTCATTGGTAGCAAAGGGATGATCCTTTCTACCATTACTATTAGTGGGAAAATTGGGAGCCTGCTGTTGAGAAAGGCATCCTGTTAGGAACTGCTGGACTGCTGCAGAAAGCTCAGCTTCAGAGGTTGAAGTGAGGTGGCAGCCAACCACAGCAAGCTAGAAACCAACTCTACTCCCTCATAGCCTTCTACCTGAAATTCACACAGCTGTTATTAAACAGGTTTTTTTTAAATAGATGAGTAATATGTATCCCTTTTAAGAAAGTTTACAAATCTAAGAGAAGTCAAAAATGAATTAAAATCCTCCAGGGCCAGGTACCAGTAGCTCACTCCAATAATCCCCCCTACTCAGAGGCTGAGACATGGAGCAAACTAGTATGAGGCCAGCCTGGGCAGAAAATGTAGCCTCCTAAATAAGCAGCAAAAAGCAAGGCTGAGGGGCATGGCTTAAGTGGTAGAGCACCAGCTAACCAAGTACAAGACTCTGCATTCAAACCCCACTACCTCCAGAAAAGAAAATAAAACCACAATATAATGGAAGTGAAACAATATAATGGGAGTGATTCCCAAAAACATTTTGGATATTTCTTTCTTTCCTTCTTCAGTAAATCTTTGTCTATTTATGAATTTGTCTGTTTATGAATTTTTCTCTGGTATACATTATGTATACACACAGTGACAGTCCTTTAACTAGAATAGAGAAGGGAATAGGATAGATTAGAAAATAACTAAGAATCAACAAAACAGGAAGAGATTGACTCGTATATAATGGAAATTGATACAAACATGGTAGTAAATAGATACTTTTAGTTTTTGTTTGATAATTTTCCTAAGATCATTTGGTTGTTTTTTTTCCCTTTTTGTTTTCTTCAAAATTCTCCAAATTATGATATATGATACGTTTGTTGGCCCATGAAATAAATTAGGGCTTCCAAGCCACAGAAGGGCCTATTCCTTTCCCTCACTATTCCAGAAAGAAACAGGAATGGGCTCCAAGGAGAACCCCACCCAGTGAGTACAGGCCCTGAGCTCCACCCCTAGTCCCACCTGTCCCCCCCACCAATGAAAAAGAACCTGAGAAGCTACCATATTGTAAGCCTATGTGCCCTAGCAAAGCCACTGTGATGACTCCACTGGCAGTCCGATAAACACTGGTAGAGTCCCCCTCTTTACTGACAGGAAAAGTGTTCATAATTGGCATCCAGGACACAAAGTTAATAACAAGGATTCATCCTTTAGCCTCTGTCTTTCTGCTAGAATTTTTAACTGAAGGGCAGTCGTACACTGTAGGTACATCCATGGGAGGTATACAGTTGAAAGAACATACATACAAAACCAGTGCTATGCTGCCTGATAGTTTCTGTTCTTGTTAGAAACTGTGGGCATTGCTCTTACAGCATCCACTATGACTTAAAGTATGAATTCTTTGCATCTTAAAGATGTAAACACCGCCAGGTGCCAGTGGCTCACACCCATAATCCTAGCTACTCAGGAGGCTGAGATCTGAGAATCACAGTTCAAAGCCATCCTGGGCAGGAAAGTCTGTGAGACTCTTATCTCCAATTAACCACCAAAAAATCAGAAGTGAATCTATGGCTCAAGTGGTAGAAAACTAGACGTGAGCAAAAAAGCTCAGCGACACCCAGGCCCTCATTCAATCCCTAGGAGACACACACACACACACACACACACACATATACACACACACACTAGGAGACACACACACACACACAGTGTACCTCCACAGCAAAGGGCTTGCCTGTTTGGCCTGGGCTAGGCACCATGTTCCATCTAGCATCATAGCAAAAAAAAAGAATCTCAAATGTCACCAATTCCCAGTTCTTTCTTTGTTCTTCATACTACCTATCATTTTTTGCCAGCTAAACAAAATTCACAGTAAATAAATATGTTCACAGATTTCTCTAATTCTCCTTGGAATCTTTTTACAGATATGAGATCCTAACTCCAAATGCTATTCCTAAAGGTTTTATGGATGGTAAACAGGCCTGTGAACGAATGGTAAGCTTTTCTTGATTTTTCTGGCTTGTCAACTGTCAGCATAATCTGTCCTAAGCAAAAAATAAATAAGACTCTTTCTCTCTTAGATCCGAGCTTTAGAACTGGATCCAAACTTGTATAGAATTGGGCAGAGCAAGATATTTTTCAGAGCTGGAGTTTTGGCACACTTGGAAGAAGAAAGAGATTTGAAAATCACGGACATCATTATCTTCTTCCAGGCTGTCTGCAGGGGTTACCTAGCCAGAAAGTAAGTAGCTAATCACCCCAAAGGCTGTGGTACCTCAACAGTTCGTGTGCCAGGGATGGAAGAGTGCAAGGAGCATGCAGCCCAACTCTATGGAAGTTGCATGCTAGGAGGAGAGACAGCCAAGCCATCACATGCATTCTGCCCACCCACATGGTGCAGTAGGGAAACACACAGGGACCAAGATGTAAGCCAAAGAGAGGTAGGCATTCTGATTCCACTGCAGTCCTGGAGAACCCTTTTTTGAGGCCAACCCTCAAGGATAAAAAGCTAAACAACTCTCTAAAGGGCACAAGGAGTGCTAAGCACCAGAAAAGAAATCTCTTTCTTTCCTCCTGTTTTTATTGCCTGAGGAAAATGTAAGATGCATTCAGATCTAGCATTGCACCCATGCATGCATGCGAGCATACACACACATATTTGTGGGGGTGGAAGGTGAGTGGCAGAGAAGAAGGTGTGGGATGCATCTAAGATGAAGGGTCGGCAGTCGGTGACAGATGTTTTAGGTGGGCTGTCCAGGCCAGCAAGTTGGATAGCTTTGGGGTGGACTGTCACATATTCTTACATATTACTCCTTGAGGACCGCCCCCCCCCCCGCCCACCCCATTAGCCATAGAAGAGTGTGGCTTCTTCTGAATAGTTAGAACCTGTTTGTCCTCACACAGTGTTTCTTCCTGTTCTTCAGGGCCTTTGCCAAGAAGCAGCAACAACTTAGTGCCTTAAAGGTCTTACAGAGGAACTGTGCCGCATACCTGAAGCTGCGGCACTGGCAGTGGTGGCGGGTCTTCACAAAGGTGCGTGGGGCAGAGGAGTTGCTAAATCTCCTTCACGTAGCAGGGTTCAAGCAGTAATAGTCCCCAAGAGAGAAATGTAATGGTGGTTTCATTTGGTCACAGGTAAAGCCTCTCCTACAAGTGACTCGCCAGGAGGAAGAACTTCAGGCCAAAGATGAGGAACTGCTGAAAGTGAAGGAGAAGCAGACGAAGGTTGAAGGGGAACTTGAGGAGATGGAGAGGAAGCACCAACAGGTGTGTGCTCACCTTCTGCCTCATACTTCCCTGGGTCGGCTGGGATGGCCGTGGAGAGCAGCTGACACATTCCTGTCCCTACCTTAGCATGCTGCTTTATGGAAGGTGTTCTTGTTCCTTTCCAAAGCCTATACACTTGCAGAACAGAGTTAACGGATTAAGTTTGCCTCACACTTTATTCAGCTTTACTTAAAACCCTACAGCTTTGCCCTTCTCATTCTTCACATACACAGATGGTCCTGTTTGCCATCAAGCTTGTGCTTTAACACCTGTGTTAGATGCAGCTCCCAGCGCTGTCACCTTCCCATGACTGCTTCTTAGGTGAAACAGAGAGAAGAAAAAGGATGAGACGATTGGCGTCAAAGCCTCCCCTTTTCTCTAGTGACAGGGTTCTTGGATCTGTGTCTCTGTGCAGGCAAGTCCTGTTCATGGAGAAAGCAGAGGCTTAAGAAGTATTTGTGGATAACAATAACAGAACTGTAGTGTTCAAGCCAAAAAATATTCATGAGAAAAGCCTAGAATATCACTTGATATTAGATATTTTTAGTCACCATGGATTTTATAACATGAATAATATTCTGCTCCTCTGTCATTTTGTAATTTTAACAGAACTGTGATTGTTTAAATTCTGTACTATTAAGAATGTGTGAGGTAACAGGAACAACTGGAAATGTTTCTATCTAACTGATTTTACTTCAGCCAAGAGGATATTTGAAAGTTTGGCTCCTGGTGTTTTTGACTCCCAGTTTCTTTGGTGAGCTGCTGAGCACTGCTGCTGAATAGATCAGGTGCATGCACTGAGTAAGTCATGGTACAGACCCTGTGTTGTGCTTGCAGCTTTTGGAAGAGAAGAATATCCTTGCAGAACAACTCCAAGCAGAGACTGAGCTCTTCGTTGAAGCAGAGGAGATGAGAGCAAGACTAGCTGCAAAAAAGCAGGAGCTGGAGGAGATTCTGCACGACCTAGAGTCCAGGGTGGAAGAAGAAGAAGAAAGAAATCAGATTCTCCAGAACGAAAAGAAAAAAATGCAAGCACATATTCAGGTATCAAGCAGTTCTCTGTGGGAACAGTAGCTGGAAGAAGTAAAAGCTGCGTGCTTGGATTCTTGACCGTTGAAAAGCAAAGAAGTTTACTTTCATTTGCGGATTTTTCTTTCCCTAACATAGACATATTACTTTGAATAGGAATCTCTTTGTTTTCTGATGTGACATCTTACAGTGTGCCATGTAAAGATATTCAAAGTCAAAACGCTCTTTGGGGCTGTAGCGTTGTGGAGAGGACCTAAGGTTCTTTATGTTGTCAGAAATGGTTCTGCTACTGTGTTCATTAGATAAGCATCTACTAAATGGCTAGATTCATAAGCAATGCTCAGCACTATAATAGGACAAAATAGCTCTTCCCTGGTAATTTCTGAATACAAGCTGAAGTCCCATGAAGCACAATTATATACAGAACCAAACACCCAGACAAATGATGTTGACAGTGGGTATTTTGCTGCATCCCAGGACACGCCCACAGCCGCGTCTCTTGTTCCCCTCTCCCACCCTCAGTATCTGGTGCCAGCATGTGCCCCAGTAGACCATGGGTCTCGTGCCAAATTTTCCTTTCCAAAATTTCCTCCGGGAATATTTCTCCCTCAGTGCTTCCCTCACCCCATAGTTCCTCTTTATGATGCATAGACAGTTCAGCCATTGTGCAAATATCAAATAACTCATGCAGTGTATGGCTATACACTTAGCTTTATTCTATTTTTCAACACAGACAGCTTTCAAGTATCCTATAATAGGTTAGCAGACTAGCACAAAACTGTAAAAAGCATATACTCCCAACAATTCTAGTCTAGGACCAAAGGTTGACTAGTGGATACAACTCTGTTCACTAATTTTATTTCTCATATACAGTAATGTAGGGTCTGAAATAAAGATAAGTATGTTAAGGCATGGACGGTGGCTCACATATGTATTTCTAAGTACTCAGGAGGCTGAGATCTGAGAGTCATGGTTTGAAGCCAGCCCATACAGGAAAGTCCATGAGACTCATCTCCAATTAACCACCAAAAATCTCAAGTGAAAGAGTGCTACCGTTGAGCAAAAAAGCTCAGGAACGCACCCGGCCCCAGTACCTGTTTGGCTGAACAGATATAGTTGTATTGAACTATATTACATACATGATTGATATGTTACTATGTTCATATTCCTATTCTTATATTTACATATTACTATATTCCTGTCTTGCTAATTATTGCAAAATATGAATTTCAATTACTATGTGATATACCATTTTATAAATGTACCAACACTTAATTACCAAGCCCTTCTACCATGAATGTACCACAGTCATGGTTACTTAGTTTTACAAATAACATTTCACTGTAGGTCTTTTTATACAGACTACAGCTGATAATGTCCTAAAACTGCATTTAAAAGAAATGCCTCTATTTTTCACATGGTAAATCCCAGCTACTTGGGAAATAGAAACAGGAAGATCCCATGTTCAAGTCCAGCCCTGGCAACTTCTCAAGACCCTATCTCAAAAAGAAAATACAAAACAAAAGTTCTGGGGGCATGGCTCAAGTGGTAGAGTACCTGCCAAGCAAAGCCCTAGATTCAAGCCCCACTACCACCCAAAAAAAAAAAAAGCCTATTTTCAAAGCTACACTTTGCCATGTTGGGTGTTGACCTAGCTTATACTTGAACTTGTAAAAACGTGGCAGTGTCTATCTCCTATTTTTCAAACACCATTTGAAAATGAGAATGGGTATGTCGTTTTAATATCCTCCTGTGCACTCTTGATGGTGAAGGAAGTGGGTGGCCATGATTTCCTCTTCCAGGACCTAGAAGAACAGCTGGATGAGGAAGAAGGAGCTCGGCAGAAACTGCAGCTGGAGAAAGTGACGGCAGAGGCCAAAATCAAGAAGATGGAAGAGGAGATTCTCCTTCTCGAGGATCAGAATTCCAAATTTATCAAAGTAAGGAGCCTTTTCCATAAGATGCTCCTCTTAGAATCTATGTCTATACACCCACTGATGCTAGGATTTTAGGCTCATTTACTTAATTTTCTCCACATGTCTCCACTTAGCTAGATTTTGAAAGATACAGACACTTCAGCTATCCTTTTTCTAAACTTCAAATGATGGATACAAGGGAGTTATTATTTAATGTATCCATCTTAAGTGTCCAGTGCTTCTTGATCAGAGTTGTCCCTCACTTTAGCTTTTATAATCTACCAGATACCACTATAGTCTTGTAGGCTTTTGACTTGTGCTAGCTCTCGTTCACCCAGCACTGATGTGGGCTCTGAGCAGACCCAAGGCGGAACCCACAGCCTCGTGAGCCCTGCTGCTATGGAAGCGTGCGGTCCATTGCAGGAGCTGTGCCACTGTTGCTCACTTTCCTCAAAGAAAGCTACTGCTGAGTAATCTCAACCCCAAACTCAGTTGAATTGTTTCCTATCCAGGAAAAGAAACTCATGGAAGATCGCATTGCTGAATGCTCCTCTCAGCTGGCTGAAGAGGAAGAAAAAGCTAAAAACTTGGCCAAAATCAGGAATAAGCAAGAAGTAATGATCTCCGATTTAGAAGGTTCGTGTCTGGGGCTAGAGGAATTTAGGACAAGGATGTGAATGGTGAGATTTTACACTATTTAGAACAAAGAAGTACTGGAATACTAGGAGCCTTTGGAGTTGGACTCTCTCTCTCTTTGTCTCTCTCTCTCTGTCTCTCTCTCTCTCTCTCTCTCTCTCCTCTCTTTATTGTTGTTGTCAGTTCTAGGGCTTGAACTCAGGGCCTTAGACACTCACTGGTCTTTTTACTGGTTAATTAGAGATGGAATCCCAGGACTTTTCTGCCTGGGTTATCAGTATCTCGGCCAAGGTATTCATTATTAAAATAAATCTCTTAGCTAGGTACTGGTGGCTCATGCCTATAATCCTAGCTACCCTGGAGGCTAAGATCTAAGGATCATGATTGGAAGCGAACACAGGCAGGGAAATCTTTGAGGCTCTTATCTCTAATTAACCACCAAAAAGCCAGAAGTAGAGCTGTGGGAGAATGTTAGCCTTGAGGAAAAAAGCTCAGAGATAGTGCATAGGCCCTAAGTTCAAGCCCTGGGACTGGCACAGTAAATAAATAAATCTCTTACAAGTTATTTTGTTTCACCAATAGCATTAAAATGGTTTGACTTTGGTTTGCTGTTGTTGTTTGAGGCATGGTCTTGTTATGTCATCCATGCTGGCCTAGAACTTGTGATTCTTCTTTCTGTCTCAGCTTCTTGTGTTGGGGTTACAGGCTTCTGCCACCATGTTTTACTTTCTTAACTTTGGTACCACAATAAAATATACTATCTTTTGCTGGACTTAGGATCTAAATTAACTCTGAAATCTGTAGACCACTGGGTTTTCTGACACAAGCACTGCATTCAACTACGTGAGTGTCACTTCGCAGAGTAACCACCCTCAAACTGGAAACCCAGGCAATAGTAATAGCTGCAAAAGAAATAGAGTGGACGCCATTAAGAGCACATAAACCTTCGTAGATAAGCAAGCAATATGCTCACTCTCTTCATGCATGCTTTTATGATGAGAAACTGGACATAGGTTGTTTTTAAGTTATTTAGGGCTTTGTTTTGGTTTCTTACGTTTTTTTTTTTTTGGTATAGACAAAAGACAATGTCAGTGTGAACTTCTTTTCATAAACCACTTGGCTAGTTTGTGGGTTCACAGGCATGCCTGTGGGATGGGCCTGGGGAACTTGTCTCATCCTCTCCACAGTGGGTTCTCGCTGGAGATCACAAAGCACAGAGTCCCACTGTGTGAGGAACAGGTCACTAGCCTTGATTAAGAGCTACCACAGAATTGAAGAGATGAAGATAGGGAAGATGCACAGCCCTGTGCCCGCTCCTCTGTCTCTGCAGTTTCCTCAGATCCATGCTTACACTAACTTATCTCATCTCTGACTGATTTCCACTGACTGAGCATCTGAGACTGTCATTCAGGCAGTGACATGCCTTTGAATAAAATGTTTGATTCTCAGCTTTGATCCGTTAAAAGTTCACTTTGGTGAAGCACTTTTGCCTTTCCTTAAAGAACGCTTGAAGAAGGAAGAGAAGACTCGGCAGGAACTAGAAAAGGCCAAAAGGAAACTGGATGGTGAGACAACGGATCTACAGGACCAGATTGCCGAGCTCCAGGCTCAGATCGATGAGCTCAAGATCCAGCTGGCCAAGAAGGAGGAGGAGCTGCAGGGCGCCCTGGCCAGGTCTGCTGTGTTTCCATTGCTCTGGTGTAAAGCAGCTGCTGAGGCTTAAGTTCCTGCGGTGTGGCTCTTGTGTGGGGGAGTAGGAAAGCTAACTTGCTGTTAGGGATAACAGTTTCATGAAGCAATCAGGAGTATCTGGAGTATGTAACTTCTGTCAGGCAGCAAGGAAAATCTCACAATCCATTCTCAATATCTATACCTAACAACAAGCATGAAATCCTGGGGAAGTGACACCAGAACAGTTTTACCACAGTGGATTTTTGTTTTCAACCTAGTCTCACTATGTCTAGAAACCTGAGTAGGATTAACTTTCCAGAAATGATCATTCTTCTCTAATAAGATGATCTGATGATTAGCTCTAAGCCAGTGGTCCACAGACCCCTTACCTTCATTTCCTTTTAAAGCATAACTTTGGTACGTAGGCTTAGGTTCTAACAACAAAACTTTTTTCTCTTGTCCTTACCAGTGACACTCAAGCCAGATCAGCTGCTTTTTCACCTCGAGCAAGTTTTTGTCATTTATAAGGCTAAAATTAAATGTCCCCCTGATTGCTATCATATCTTATCAGCTTCCCCAACCCTCACCTCAGATACCTCAACTGTTCCCTATCAGAAAAACATATCACCTACCTGCATGTAGGTACAAAGGAGGTGCATGGCAAAGTGGGAAGGGAGTATTCATACTGTGGAATATGAATTCCTTGTGCCTGAATATGTCCTCCAGGTTAGTGGTTTGACAGCTGCCTCCATCAGTGATCTGACTGTCATGACACTTCACTGCAGAGGACATTTTTCAGTTTTCTGATCTTTAAAGTGAGATTGTCCCGTGTGTGTGTGTGTGTGTGTGTGTGTGTGTGTGTGTGTGTGTGTGTGTGTGTGTGTGTGTGTGTGTGTGTGTGTATCACACACATGCCAATACTGGACCTTGAACTCAGTGCCATTCACTCTTTCTTAGCTTTTTCACTCAAGACTGGCACTTTGTGACTTGAGCCACATCTCTACTTCTAGCTTTGCTGGCTAGTTGAAGATAATAGTCCTTTCTGCCCGGGCTGGCTTCGAACCATGATCCTCAGGTCTCAGCTTCCTCTGAGTAGATAGGATTGCAGGTGTGAGCCACTGGCACCCAGCTCTTCCACCTCTTAATGGAGGATTGTGGCCCTTTAAAAAGGAGGCTGGCCTGGATCCCCTTTGTGGCTCCCATTACCTGGTTCGGGGCCTTCCCAGGTCATTTACTTGAAGACAGACTGCCCCCAGGAGACCCTGGAAAGAGGAGGTAGAACCAGCATCCCCTAGAGCAGAGAGGACAGGCCAGGTGCCACATGACCCCTGAACGCCTCTCTGCTTGGACCTTTTGACAGAGGTGATGATGAGACACTGCACAAGAATAACGCACTCAAAGTTGTACGTGAGCTCCAAGCTCAAATTGCCGAACTCCAAGAAGACTTTGAGTCCGAGAAGGCTTCACGGAACAAAGCAGAAAAGCAGAAAAGGGACTTAAGTGAGGAGCTGGAAGCTCTGAAAACCGAGCTCGAGGACACTCTGGACACCACGGCGGCTCAGCAGGAACTACGGTGAGTGTGGCGGGGGCACCGCGGGTATCTGCTGGCTGCAGATGTGTAGATGTGCTGTGCAGATGTGCTGTGCAGATGTGCTGTGCTGTGCTGTGCTGGCTCCTTTGGGGCATCATGGTATCTGGAAGATGTCATTCCAGAGCTCCTTTCTGCTTCCTGGGGACCCTAGCAGGTAGAACAGTGACAGACACAAACCAGCTGATAGGTAGAAATATATGTGCCATGGGCAGCACAGGCCCTTCAGACTAAGACGGCATCAGAAAGTCAAAGGCAGGAAAGAGAGACAACTGAGCTGGAAAGAGACTTACAGAGGAGGGGCAAGCAGGCCAGAAAAGGAGAGGGGATGACACACAGAAGAGGTAGCAGTGTGGGCCGGCATCTGCTGGCAGTGTCCATTGGCATGCGCAGAGTAGACAAGCATGTTAGAAGGAATGTTCAGGTCCTGAGATGAGAAGTGTGAGCACAGATCTTTAGGCACAGGTGTACACTGGGCAAGGACAGGAGCAGTAGCCCAGGAACCAGCAGCAGGTGCAGGCCTGAAGAAAGTGACCTGGCATGGCTGGACATAGCCAGAAAAGGCTCACCTGCAACATGTCAGCCCCAGAAAGCCAGAATACCTGTGAAGACAGATGTCTGAGAGAGGTAGAAATGACCCAGAGCAACCAAGAGGAGGCAGTGTGGAAGAGCCAGGGCTCTGTTCTCAGTAGGCTAGGATGTATCATCTGGGTCTTCCCAACATTCTGGGAATGTTGGTTTCACTGTGGGTCAGGGGACTGGTTTACACAATATGGCAGTCTCTGCCTGGCCACGCCGCCCACCCCGGCAGATGGCCCGGGTAAGTCCCAAGAGCTTGTAAAAGCTAAGAGGCAGAAAAGCCAAATAATCAGGATGCTGGACCATATCAAAGGCAAACCTCTTCTCATCCTCCTGTGGAAGGAGCTACACTCTTAACAGGCCCCATCAGGAAGTGCTGAGCAATGTTGAGAAAGAGCACTGAATTTTTTGTTGTTGGTGGTGGTCCTGGGGCTTGAACTCAGGGCCTGGGCACTGTCCCTGAGCCTCTTTGTGCTCAAGACTAGTGCTCTACCACTTGAGCCGCAGCACCACTTCTAGCTTTTTCTGAGTAGTTTATTGGAGATAATAGTCTCACAGACTTCTCTTTTTTTTTTTGTCCGTTGTGGGCCTGAACTCTGGGCCTGGGTACTGTCTCTCAGCTCTTCAGCTCAAGGTTAGCCCTCTACCACTTGAGCCACAGTGCCACTTCTGGCTTTTTCTACTTATGTGGTGCTGAAGAATCGAACCCAGGGCCTCATGCATGCAAGGCAAGCACTCTACCACTGAGCCACCTTCCCAGCCCTCTCATGGACTTTTCTGCCTGGGCTTTAAACCACAATCTTCAAATCTCAGTCTCTTGAGTAGCTAGGATTACAGGCGTGAACCATTGGTGCCTGGCTTGGGGCACTGATGATTAGAAGGCAGGTTGAAGGGTCACATTCTTGGCCAGAACAGGTTTTTGGAGTTTGATATGAGGATGAAGCAGGAAATACCCTGGAATTTCAACATCTTCAGATAAACAGGAGGTCTGTCTAATCTGCACTTAAGGGATAAAGATCACATTGGAAATAAATATTCTTGTGTGCTTTTCTAATTGTGTTTATAATTGTGAGAGTAACTTGAGTAACTAAGTTATTTCGCTAACTAGAAACAAGTTTACCGTGATAACTCACTCTGTATTTGTCAACCTGAGCATACATGTACTTAATAAACACTGAAACCAGGGCTGTGTGTATAGCTCAGGGACCAGCAGTTGCTCACGTGGCATGCACAAGGCCCCAGGTTCAATTCTTACTAACTCAAAACAAGTCAGACTGACACCAGTAAGAGCATCCCCACTTCTGCTAAGGCATCTGTTAGCGTCATTTCACCAGCGGGAGCCTCACAGCAGCGCTGAAGCACAGTGCCAGAGGCTTGCTCTATACTTTCAAATGTGTAAGCAATTAGCACAGTGACTCATGCGCCAAATCCTGTATGGACATTTTCCCTTCCTGGACCAGTGGAGCAATGAGACCCCAGGGGCTGAGATCACTGCTGAGAGAGGGCTGCAGCACTGCCAGCTCTGGCCTCACAGAACTCAGACAGAAGGAATCGCTGAAGATTCTTTGTGGTCCAGCCCAGCTCAGCCACAGGTCCCACTGGCTTTCCTGTTATCCTGTATTCTGCCATCCTCCATGATTACTTCCATTTTCTCTGCTGGTCATTACTTTCCCTCAGCAGTGGGTCACACAGCCTCCTGCTCTCAGTTCATCTTCAGGGTGAACGGTTTTGCTCCTGGTCCCTTCCTAAATCTAAGAATCAAAGGCATCCTTTAGCTTCTCTTTCCCTCCGACTAAATAACCTGGTTAGTTCCTTTAGATTTTCATCATAGACCTAAAGGGACATAAGATGCCATTGAGCCTGCAGAAGAGAATTCCATCTGCCGAGGACTTACTTGTAAGTTAATTATGGGACACACAATTCTAGTAAGAACCAGCAGACAGGTAGGTGTGGCTTGAATGCTCTGACAGCCTTTGGTAAGGGTACACACCTGAACTGCAGGAGACATAATGTTTCCCAAAACACCATCTGTGAGTGCTACAGTTGAGCCCATTATGGTGTGGATAAAAATACATCTCTCATTTGTAGTTTTTGTTTTTGCAAGAAGTGAATTGGAAAGACGATCAGAGCTTTTGTTGTTGTTATTATTATTGTTGGTGGTGGTGGTGGTGGTGGTGGTCGTGGTCGTGGTCGTGGGGCTTGAACTCTGGACCTGGGCCCTGTCCCTGAGCTCTTCAGCTGAAGGCTAGTGCTCTGCCACTTGTGCCACAGCACCACTTCCAGTTTTTGATTGGTTCTTTGGAGATAAGAGTCTCACAGAGTTTCCTGCCCGGGCTGGCTTTGAACCGCAATCCTCAGATCACAGCCTCCTAAGTAGCTAGGATTACAGGCATGAGCCATTGGCACCTGGTTGAGCATTCTTTTCTACTCTGGTCAAAAACCCAGCCAAGAGTAGACACTTCCAAAGCCGAGTTCACTGGTTTCTAGATTCAGGAAAAAAAAAAGGCCAAGATGTACAACTGCTAAAATCTGTTATTCGCTGAGCAGGTTGAAGGCTTTTAGCCCTGCTTGTCTCAGATGGATTCCAGCCACCTCTCTTTGGGGGACATGGGCTAAAACACAACACCCAACAAACCTCCAAACTGCCTCTGTGTTTATAAATACACATGACCCAAATCATGATGTACACCATTAGGCCCACCATTTTCCTTTCTTCACCCCATTGCTCCTTAGCCAGTCTGGTAAGACCTGGTGTCACTGTTCTGCTCAGCTGACTGCTAACTGTGAAGTCACTCTTGCCAAGCCAGGGCTGGGGGGGGGAGGGAGTCAGGGAGCGGAAAGTTAGCAGTACTGGGGTTTGAGCTCTTGGCCTTACACTTGCTAGGCAGGCACTCTACCACTGAGTCATTCCTCTAGCTATTTTTTACACTGGACATTTTTGAGATAGGGTCTCAAGTCCTGCTTAGGCATCCTCCTGGACCACAGTCCCTATTTTTGACTTTTCATCATAGCTGGGATCATAGGCACAGGATACTGGCCAGCATCCTTCTTGGAGGTAAGAGTCTCATGGACTTTCCTGCCCGGGCTGGCTTTGAACCATGATCCTCAGATCTCAGCCTCGTGAGTAGCTAAGATTACAGGCATGAGCCACCAGAGCCTAGCAGCATCCTTCTTTTGACTTAAAATTTCAAGCACTTCCCAATCCCAGCTGGCCTGGATCTACAGTCCTCCTGATCTCAGCCTCCCAAGAAGCTAGGATTACAAGTTTAAGCCAGCATCACACAGCTCCAAATGTGTTTTAACGTAATCAGTTGGCTAATTCTGATCTGTTGTTGTTGTTTTTAATACATTTCTTTAGCACAAAACGTGAACAGGAAGTGGCCGAGCTAAAGAAGGCTCTCGAGGAAGAAACTAAGAACCATGAAGCACAAATTCAGGACATGAGACAGAGACATGCAACAGCCCTGGAAGAGCTTTCTGAGCAACTGGAGCAAGCTAAAAGGGTAGGGGACCCCAGCCACGTGGCCATGTCCCCAGGGAGAATAATCCATCAGACAGCCACCATTGCGCTTGGCTGTCCCCTTCAGTGCTATTGCGATGAACTTCCAGCCTTCAGACTGCAGTAGGGTGGGCTCCTGGAGACCCAGTTGCTCATAAGTGATAGCTGCTTTCTTAAAGCACATTGTTTATTTAGAGAAAAGTCATACGCCCTAATTCTTTGTAGAAGATGGATGGATCCAGCAGCCACGAGTCACACATTCCTCCCCTGTGGCTCACGGATATCATTGCTCTCCCAATGGCTTGCCCACTGATCTTGAGTGGTTTCAGCCATTCTCTCACTCGGCTGCTGCCAAGACGCCTCATTATTCCCTTCCCGGTGTTCCTTTACACTCATTGCACCCTCGTGGCCCCTTCTGCCTCTCATCTCGTCTTAGTCACCACACATTGTCATCCTCCACCATTCTCCCACCTACCTCTCACAAAGAGCTTGCCAGTCTACCAAGACATCATATTCCTTCCTTACCTCAAACCATCCTCCTGTGCAACTGCCTTCTTTCTCCTATTTTTTCAGGAATCCTTTCTTTATGCCTTTACTCTTGGTCTGATTTTCTTAGCTTTCTCTTCTCTGTCTAGCCACATGCTAATGTACGCAGTGTTAGTGTGACCAGGGACTGGACATTTGTTCATGGAGGTCAGACATTGTGCTAAGTACTCTGAGCACTGCCTTCTATAGTCTTGATTCCAGTCCTGTAGGGTAGTCTCTGTTATTCTCATGGAAAGGATAAGGAAACGGAGGTCCAATGTGGTAAGGTAACTAAGCCAGGGTCACACAGTTCAAAGGTGGAGATTGAGATTGAAGCCACCTCCTGTGCCCAGAGACCCATCTCTGAACTAGATTTAGCTTGTGTTAATTTTTTTTTAAGGAGTGTTTCCTCCACCTCATGTGACAATTACATAGCCCCTAGATACCCACATCTACCACTGTGAGCAGAGAGTTCCATGGCCCAGGTATCCCTCACCTCGAAACCAGATGCCCAGAATAGCAGATGCTGACGGTGGACACACTACCATCAGGCCCAAAAGCAGTGCTTCTTACAGAGAGCTGTGAAATAACGTCAAATATCCCTCCCTCTCCCAGTTCAAAGCAAATCTGGAGAAGAACAAGCAGGGCCTGGAGACGGACAATAAAGAGCTGGCGTGTGAGGTGAAGGTGCTGCAGCAGGTCAAGGCTGAGTCTGAGCACAAGAGGAAGAAGCTGGACGCCCAGGTCCAGGAGCTCCATGCCAAGGTCTCAGAAGGCGACAGACTCAGGGTGGAGCTGGCCGAGAAAGCCAATAAGCTACAGGTAAGCTGGAACACCTGGGCACTGGACAGGTCTTGCTCTCGCTTATCCAGTTTGGCATTTTTATCCTTCTGTGGCCCTCCTGTGGAAATCTGTTGTTACATACCTGAAAATTGTCATTGTATGCAACTCCTAGAGACCATCAGTGTTTATTACTGTGGTGAATGTAAATGATACTTCAAAAATATGACAGCAGTAGCTGAGCACTGGTGGCTCATGCCTGTAATCCTAGCTACTCAGGAGGCTGAGATCTGAGGATCACAGTTCAAAGCCAGCCCGGGCAAGAAAGTCCTTGAGATTCTTGTCTCCAATTAACCACCAGAAAACAGGAAGTGGCACTGTGGCTCAAAGTGGTAGAGCGCTAGCCTTGAACAAAGAGAGGTCAGGACAGCACCCAGGTCCAGAGTTCAAGCCCCATGATCGATAAAATATATAGGTATATATGTATGTAAGTATGTATGTATACATTCATAAGGGTTCTGAGGGCATAGCTCAAGTAGAGATCCTGAGTTCAACTTCAGTATAAATAAAAAACAGCCTGAATTGGCTGTTCTTTGCATGACTCTTAACAACCTCACCCTGTCCAGTAAGCCAGAAAATAAGAAAGCAGTGGGCAAAATACCTAGTAATGATAAAGACTTGAGGATGATGGATTTATATACACAAGTGGTTGGAGCATAAATTACTGAAGCTTCTTTCTAGACGACACTTTGACAGTTCCATATCATAAGCTTTAAAGCTGTGGGCCCAGAAAAATCAATGTGTTGTCATTTATCCTAGAGAAACAATGAAGGTTAGGCATAGATCCAACTCCAAGAATATTCTCTGTAGAAGTGTATATAAAAGCATATAATTTAGCCAGGTCCCAGCAGCTCACAGCCAGTAATCCTAGCTACTCAGGAGGCTGAGATCTGAGGAATGAGGTTCAGAGCAGCTCAGGCAGGAAAATCCTTGAGAACTGGAGCTGTGGCTCAGGTGGGAGAGCACTAGCCTTGAGCAAAAAAGAGCACCCAGGCCTTGAGTCAAACTCTAGGAGCAGTGCACATACACATGCATGCACACACATACACACACAAGCATATCATTGGAAATAACCTTAATGTCTAGAATGGAGTCAAGCACCACCAATAAGAACTTAGTAGATGAGTAGATGTTGGTATGAAAAGATACACCTGCTGATTGTTGCATTGAAGAGGAATTTACAGAGCTGGGTTGTGAGAGCTGAAGACCCTGCAGTGCAGTGATCACACGTGCATAATCCTCCCAGCCGGGATTTATCCCAGTGAAAGAACACAGAGCAGAGTCAGAGAAAGGAACCAGGTCCTGGGGGCAGCAAAGTCCTGAAAAAGCCAGGCACCAGTGTGCAGGGTCTTCTCCCAGCCCAGCTCCACAGCCCCTCCACCATTGAGCCATGTGCACTTTGAGTGTTGTCCTCAGTGTGCAAGTCATTTCTGAGCCTGGTCCTATAAGCACTCTGCCTGAAACACCCCAAATTCCAGACATCTGGGAGGAAAGCGGATGCTCAGCATAATCCACATGATTTGCACAAATAACTTAGGCATCCTGATGCACAGCTGCCATTTGGAATACGGAGGGAATCAGTTAAGAATCCAGGTTCCCAGGGGATAGCACAATTAGGCCCTCTCTGAGCTGCGCCATCTCGGGCTCACTGCATTAACACATGGGAAGCCTTGTGTGTTATTTATGAGATCATGCATGCTTGTAAAAGATATTCAAGGAAGGGTAGGTCTTAGAAATCCCATCATGAACTCTGCACACCTAAGAGGCAAGGTGAGTAACAGTGGGCCCTGAGCAATGGCAGGCAGATGTTAACCCCCCCCTCATTTCCTCCTCAAACCACACCCAGCTCACAGAAGCTAAGGCCCTACCTCACCTGGTCATTTGCTGGCCATTTGCAGGGCCCAGGTCAGGTTCTCATGACTCAAACCATTCCCTACCACACTGTTCCCAAGGCTGGCGAGGTAAGAGCTCTCTGAAGGATGTTGCTGAAAGAGCAAAAATAGCAGCCTTGCAAGTTTGAGCAAAAAAGCTCAGGGACACAGCCCCAGCCCCGAGTTCAAGACTCACCACTGACAAAACAGAAAACAAAAAAACCTTCCAGTCTGAACAGACTCGTCACACAGGGGTGGCAATGGCTCTTCCCAAGGACTCAGCATCATGTTTGTCTCTTCGTGATAGACGTGAAACCAGGTAGTTGACCACAGCTAGGAAGAACCCTCACACTATCAGCCTCCAGGACCTTTCCATGGGAAGACATGCTATTGAGAGCAGCAGGTTTTATCAGCTATGCCCTTGAGCCTATTGGGAGATGACAATCTTGGTGGTGAAGGTCTTAGTTGAATTTGGCAGCTTCAAGTTCACACACACATACCCCCAAAGACTGCTCCATTTGTGTTCTGAGCTGTGACGAGGTCCTTTCATTGGCTTCTTACTGTAGAATTGAATGTAATCGTCACTCTTCCTTGCAGAACGAGTTGGATAATGTCTCAACCCTTCTGGAAGAAGCGGAGAAGAAGGGCATTAAGTTTGCTAAAGATGCGTCTAGTCTGGAGTCACAACTACAGGACACCCAGGTATCACAGTGGGGTTCAAGGGAGCGTTAGTAAACAGTAACATTTCTACAACGTAAGGTGGGAAATTCGCCAGTTCCACCACTGCCTTCTAGAATATCAGTGTGCAATCTATTGTACTGGTATTTGGAACTGTCTTGCACTATAACCTGCTCCTCAGGGAATCCAGCTAGCCTCAGTGGAGATTTCCAGAATGCAAAAGCAGTGCAGGATGGTGGATACAGAGCCCTGGGCTCCTGTGCTCCACTGGCCCAGGACTGGCTGGGAAGGCAGTGCTAGCCAGTATGGTTTGTGCGCTGGCAGCTATGGTTTCCCCAGCAGTGCATGGTCTTGTCACACCATTTTAAATGGTTTATTAGAGCTAGCTGGGCAGAATGGTGCATACTTATAATCTCAGCACTTGAGAAGCTGAGGCAGGTAGCTTTTGAGTTCAAGGCTACCCTGGACTACACAGGGAAAACCCTATCTCAAAAAAGAGAGAGAGAGGCTAGAGGCATGGCTCAAGTGGTAAAATAGCTAACTAGTGAGCATAAGGCCCCGATTTAAACCCCAGAACTCCCCCCTCCCCCAAAAGGCAAGGAAACATTGTTTTATTATGGCTGAAATCTCATGCTGCTGTTCACAGTCTCCTGTGTAAAAAATTGGATTGACACTTCCATTGGTGGGACTTGTATTAAATTGTTTGGAGGGGTTTCTAAATTTAAATCACAAGTAATGTACCTTTTTCTTCAAGATTTTCATCTTATTTTTGTTCAATATGCAAGCATTTGTATTTATTTGCCAGGTTCTGGGCTAGGGGCTAGAGAAAGAGGGACAGAAACCTCAGACAAACAGACAATGGGATGCTTAGGGGCTGGGTGAGCAGAAGCAAGGCTGGAACAAGGCGTATCTGCAGAGAAACTGAAGGCGGCCAGAGCCACAGTGCAGAAAGCCCTGTGGTACCTTGAAAATATTCACATCTGCTTGTTCATGTGAGAGTAGTTAACCTGGCAGGTGACCACACAGGTAATGAAGGAGGCCCAGGACTGAAGGTCAGCCCAATGGGAAACAGCAAGTGCCTGACCCAGGCAGGGGAGTGGACAGAAAGTTCTAGAAAGGAGAGATGCAGGCGTGCAGGAAGGTGTCCCGGGGGGCTTCATGGGCCCTGGCCTGGCTATGGACACATGGTGCTGCCATCCTTGAGAATGGACTTGGAGCAATATTTGCCTCAAGAGCTAATTTGGGCTGTTACAGAATTATCATGTGTGTTTATTAATGTCATTGAGTATCCCCTCCCCCCATGGAGATAGCTCCTTTTTTATGAAGCAATCTTTAATAAAGGGTTTTCTAGGTCTTAAGTAGGAGTTGTTTTTGTTTTGTTTTTTTGTGGTGGTGGTGGTGGTAGGGGTGGATGTGGATTCTGGTGATGAATATAACAACGATGTTGACTTTTTAAACAAACGAACAGGAGCTGCTTCAGGAGGAGACACGCCAGAAGCTGAACCTGAGCAGTCGGATCCGGCAGCTGGAAGAGGAGAAGAATAGCCTTCAAGAGCAGCAGGAGGAGGAGGAGGAGGCCAGGAAGAACCTGGAGAAGCAGGTGTTGGTCCTGCAGTCCCAGGTGAATGGCTCTGTAGGGAGCAAAGATGGCCTGGATACGTGCCACCAGCAGCAGTGGCCTGCTCCCAGGGCTCGTTTCAGCTCCATTTGGGGCATTTAATTGGGTTGTACTAATTTAAGCCCGTTACCCTTTTTGTCTTTGACCCAGCCAAATGCTCATCTGCTTATTCATAATGGTAATTTTAAAATAAAAAAGTGCTATAATACCTAATACAAGCTCTCGGTCCTAATCACCATTTTGTAGATCAGCTAAAGGTACAAGCTTACATGGCATTAGTTTTAAAATCATAGAGTGTTGATTTATACTGCAAAACAAAAGTTTCTTTTTATTCCTCAAATGCAAAACCCAGTTGAGTTGAGCCAGGTGCAGTGACACTTGCCTGCAGTCCCACTGCAGTCCTTCCTGCAGCAGCAGGAAATAGAGGCCAGCTTGGACTACAAATTGAATGATACCTTGCCTAGAAAACAATAATAGCAGCAGGGTTCAAACCTGTAATCATAGCTACTCAGGAAGCTGAGATCTGAAGATCTCCGTTCAAAAGCAGCCCAGGCAGGAAAGTCCATGAGACTCTTATTTCTTATTAACCACCAAAAAGTCAGGAGTAGGTCTGTGGCTCAAGTGGTAGAGTGCTAGTCTTGAGAGAGAAAAGAAAACCCTCACAGACATTGCCTGGCCTGAGTTCAAGATCCAGTACCGGCACAAACAATAATATTAATAATTAATAATAATAATAATTGAGTTCTTTATATTGTTTTTTTTTATCATTCCCCAAAACTTAGTTGGCTGAAACAAAGAAGAAAGTAGATGATGACTTAGGAACAATCGAGAGTTTGGAAGAAGCTAAAAAGAAGCTTCTTAAGGATGTAGAGGCCCTGAGCCAGCGCCTGGAGGAGAAGGCCCTGGCCTATGACAAGTTGGAGAAGACCAAGAACCGGCTGCAGCAGGAGCTTGATGACCTGACAGTGGACCTGGACCACCAGCGCCAGATCGTCTCCAACTTGGAGAAGAAGCAGAAGAAGTTTGACCAGGTGGGTGACCCGTACTCCTGCCTCCCAACCCCCAGGGTCCTCAGCCTCGGGCCGTTTCCTCATGGAAGAGGGCCTCCTTTTGTTGTTTTGGTGTTATGGGAGAAAAGATCTTATATAAAGGCAATTAAAAGCAACATGTAGGGCTGGGAACGTGGCTAAATGATAGAGTGCTTGCCTGGCATGCATGAAGCCCTAGGTTCGATTCCTCAATACCATATAAAGAGAAAAAGGCAGAAGTGGCACTGTGGCTCAAGTGATAGAACGCTAGCTTTGATAAAAAAAAAAAAAAAAAAAAAGCTCAGCCCTGGAGTTCAAGGCCTAGAACTAGATAGATAGATAGATAGATAGATAGATAGATAGATAGATAGATAGATAGATAGATAGATAGATAGATCATGTATTTACATAAAAACTGGAAAACAAGGCAGGCACTGGTGACTCATGCCTATAATCCTAGCTACTCAGGAGGCTAAGACCTAAGGATAGCAGTTCAAAGCCATCCCTGGCAGGAAATTCCATGAAACTCTGATCTCCAATAAACTACTAAAGAACCAGAAGTGAAGCTGTGGTTCAAAGTGGGGAGCTCTAGCCTTGAGCAAAAGAGCTCAGGGACAGTACCCAAGCCCTGAGCTCAAGCCCCACAACTCACAAAAAAAAAAAAAAACCTGGAAAACAGAGAAGCAGAACACAAAATGAAAACGATGTAAACAGCTATAATCTACTACAGCTCACGTACCCTTTCTATCAAAATGCTTAGAAACAGATTTGTTTCAGGTTTAGAAATTTTTCTGATTTTTCAGTTCTAAGATAGCTTGGCAGTAGGACAGACCCGAGTGTCAACAGGAAATTCCTCTATGTGTCATGTGCCATAGAGTAATTATATAGTGTTTTCAGCGCACCTACATTCTGTGAGCCATCAAAATGAGCCCACTTGTGGACTTCCAGCAAGACTTGGGCATTTGTATTAGGGAAGCTCATCCTGTCTATGATAGCACTCTCGCATTGATGCTCCACACTAGTGCTATGCTCATTGCTTCCTGATGCTTCTGCTCGCAGCTCCTAGCAGAGGAGAAGAACATCTCTGCCCGCTATGCAGAAGAGAGGGACCGGGCTGAAGCAGAGGCCAGAGAGAAAGAAACCAAAGCCCTGTCCCTGGCCCGGGCCCTGGAGGAAGCCCTGGAGGCCAAGGAGGAGTTTGAGAGGCAGAACAAGCAGCTCCGTGCAGACATGGAGGACCTGATGAGCTCCAAAGACGATGTGGGCAAGAACGTAAGTCCCTCCTGGGCTCCATAGGATAGCCTGGGCCTGTGTGCCAACAGGGCAGTAGTCTCTGGGGTTCAGGTGTTTTACAACGTGTTCTCCATTATCTGTGCCAAGCCAAGTGTGGTTCCTGCAGCAGCCCGGCAGGCAGTCAGGTTGTTGTTCTTGTCACTTTCACTGGTTCTCCCTTTCCTGACTCAATCCTGGCACAGGGGCATTCCAACAGAAGAGTCTATACTTCTCAAACCCAAGTCCTACAAGGTCTCCTGAGACTGAGGTTCCTAGGAACTGACCCCCCATATAAAATGAAATGGGAAGGTGGCTCACACCTGTAATCCTAGCTGCTCAGGAGCCTGTGATCTAAGGATCACAGCCTGGTCAGGAAAGTTTGTGAGGCTCTTCTCTCCAGTTAACTACCAAAAAAGCCCGAAGTAGAGATGTGGCTCAAGTGGTAGAGTGCTAGCCTTGAGCACAAGTAGAGCAGTAGCCAGTTCCTGAGTTCAAGCCTCAGGAGTGGCACAAAAAAGTAGGGCAGAGTTAGCTACTGCTCCCCCTGACCTACCCTGTCCAGTAAGGCCCCATCACTTGCCTTTCAGCCTTTTGTGGTTTGGAGGTTTCGGTGGCATTTTTCCTCTCCATACACCTGTTTTCCCTATGCCTCCCCCCCATCCCTTAGTATATGACATGTTGAAGGTAGCAAAACAAATCAGAGCATGGCATTCAGAGATGAGGCTCCAGGCTGACTGTTCCCAGCATCCACTGTGACCAGGGGAAGGAGCCTCTTAAACTTCCTAGCATTGAGTTCCTCAACTGTCAGTTGGACTTTATACACTTGCCCTGTTTCACCTCTTTGCAAAGCACAAAGCCCATGGTACAGGCAAGGAGTGGTTTTTAGAGATACAGGTCATCAGGCCCCCCATAAGGGATGGAAGACTGTCCTGCCATCCCAGAGGGTCTCCTACATCCAGGGGACCTGTCCCATGGGCTCAAAGAAGCCACAGAGGGTGAAACAACCATCATTATACAATCAGATGTGGAGAGTCAACTGTAGCTGGTTCCATGCTTGTTTTCTCTACAAACATGTCTTTTGTGCCTCCTATTTGTCAAACAGTGCTAGAAAATGGCTCCTTCTGAGGGCACTAGAGAAGGATAAGCAGGAGAAAATGAGGGAGGGGTAACAGTGTTTAAAAAGAAATGTACTCATTGCCTTACTTATGTAACTGTAACCCCCGTTCATTACCTTTATGGGTAAAGTTGCTTGGTGGTTTTTTTTTTTTTTTAATTTAAAAGAAAATAGCTCTTTCTCTCCTACGTCTTCCTCTGCCTCACCTTTGTGAGAGCTGATGGGGTCATGGAACCCCCACAAAGAGGACCTAGGCCTGCTGCAAAAGGCCATGAGGATCTGATGGGCCTGTGGTTGGTACTGCTGGCACAGTGCTAGGCACAGAAGTGGGTAGATGTCTGTGGTGGCTTTTTGTCTAGGATTAGGCTTCCTCCTAGCCAGGCCTACCCACTCGTTTGCATGTGGGCCTTTCCAACTCACTGGTCTTTTCTACAGCAAAAAGGGGTGCACTCTGTACCCACTCTCTACACAGCAGGCAAATGCCAACCAGCCCGGAGGCTCGGAGGCTGTGGAGGAGGAGGAGATTATAGAGCACGTGTGAATGGAGCATTTTAAACTGAAGTGCATTTTAAACTGTCTCTCTGAAACGAGGCACAGCAGCCCTGGAGGGAAAGGCAGGGTAGGCGGGCATGTGTGGGAGGCCAGTGGGGGCAAGCAGAGCAACAGCGTTCCATGGATGGGCCTGACACACAGGAAGACTGCTGTCCTCCCCTCATTCTTCTGCCCAAGGCTTACCTCTTTCCCCCTCTTCCCCGGCACCTCTTGTACTCTAGGTTCATGAACTTGAGAAATCCAAGCGGGCCCTGGAGCAGCAAGTGGAGGAAATGAGGACCCAGCTGGAAGAGCTGGAGGACGAACTCCAGGCCACGGAAGACGCCAAGCTCCGCCTGGAGGTCAACATGCAGGCCATGAAGGCCCAGTTCGAGAGGGACCTGCAAACCAGAGATGAGCAGAAGGAAGAAAAGAAGCGGCTGCTGATTAAACAGGTGGGTGTAGGGGGCAGGGCCCTGGGAACCAGGGCTCCACTGTTCTATAAGCAGCTGTGCCCCACGGTCCTGTCTGTTGAAGATAGGATGCATTAGCGGGAGTAAAGTAGGTTATCTGGTCATTTGAGGATTTTATTGTTAACTAGGCTTAATTTTCTGTTCCTCAGATAATGCCATTGTGGCTTACAGTAAGCCAGGCTGCTGTCAGTCCTCAGCAGAATCTCACGAAAACAAAAAAAATTAAGAATTAATGTCGGGGCTCACATCTATAATCCTAGCTACTGCGGAGGCTGAGATCTGAGGATTGTGGTTCAAAACCAACCCAGGCAGGAAAGTCCATGAGACTCTTATCTCCAAATAACCACCAGAAAGCTGGAAATGGAGCTCTTTGGCTCAAGTTGTAGAGCACTAACCTTGAGCATAATAGCTCAGGGACAGTGCCCAGGCCCTGAGTTCAAGCCCCAGGACCACACAAATATATCTATATAAGAATTATTTTAAAAAATGGTCTCAGAAAAATGCTGGTTACCTTCCGGTTCTGGGTGTCAGAAGTATGCTATGGGACAAGGAAGCAGAACCACCCACAGGCGAGGGGACGCTGCAAGCTTGCATAATTCACCAATCACTCCAAGAAAAAAGCAGATCCATTGCTTATTTTAAAAACTGCTAAGCGCTTATGATTTGCATACTTTTCTAAGTGTGTATTCAACCTTGAATGTAGAAGTTTACCTTAAAAACTTAACAGTGGCTTGGGTGCTGGTAGCTCACTCATAGCCACCATTCAGCAGGAGTGGCCTGCACCAGGTGCTACACTAACTGAGCAAAATTTAGCCACCCACATTTTCCATTAATAAGAAGGGCTGCTGTGTAGCAGAGACTCCTGCAGAGTGACAGGAGCCCACAGGGGCAATAACCCACTGCCATCCTTTAGGTGCGAGAACTCGAGGCCGAACTAGAGGATGAGCGCAAACAGCGGGCACTTGCTGTGGCTGCGAAGAAGAAGATGGAGATCGACCTGAAGGACCTGGAAGCTCAGATTGAGGCTGCAAACAAAGCTCGGGATGAAGTGATCAAGCAGCTCCGCAAACTCCAGGTGGGTGCGGCAGCCACGCCCCTGGCAGGGCAAGCTACCCCCTCATAAGGTCCAGCCACGCCCCCACGAAGGAACAGCCTTGCAGCTGTTTCCCCTTGGGCTGGGTGTTGAAGGCCAATGCAGTAAAGATGGCACATGTACATCACTGTGTCTACAGGATTTGCTCTGAAACTGGGGTTGGTCACCAGGTAAAGTGACCTTTCAGGAACATGCTGTGTTGGCCACAACAGCCTCTGGTGTTAACCGAACACCACCCATCGAGGTGGGACTTTGTTACTCTAGTACTGTGAGCACTGATCCTCTACATTTCCACCACACAGTGACTCGGGATGTCTCTGTGACTCCTAGTTTGGTGGTGGGCAGTGATGTGCCCCCATCCGCACTGTTTAGGGGAGAGTTAATAGACAAAGAAGAGGTGTAAATGACAAAAACTATAGACAGTGTCCCCTCCTTTGATCTCACAATTCTGTATCTTAAGGAAATGTTCAATAAACTGTGTGAGATTTTCGTTGGGCATTGGTGGCTCACACTTGCTGATACTCAAGAAGCTGAGATCTGAGGATTACATTTCAAAGCCAGCCAGGGCAGAAAAGTCTGAGACTTTTAGCTCCAGTTAACCAGCAAAAAGCCAGAAGTGGAGCAGTGTCAGTGGTAGAGCACCAGCCTTGGCACTCTTGAGCCAAGGAGTCATGCAGGAACATATGGCTCTGAATTCAAGCCCCAGTACCAACACCAAAAAACAAAAAAAGGAATCTTTACATTCAGATATCTTAGCTGAAGTGTTTTTTTAGGATTCCCCAAATGGAAAGAGTTTAAATGTCAATGGGCTGTCACAGATGAGTGAAGGGCAGTATGTGACACAAAGGCTGGACTTCACACCAGAGATGTGGTGGCAGGCTGTGCACTTACCCATCACATGAGCATAGGTATTTATATTAAATGTGTACGTAGCCACATGTAGAGGAAAGTTTAGGGGGAAAGGCCTCTCAGACTCTAGGTCTATGTATAATTCATTTGTTTCACTATACTTTTTTTTTTTTTTTGGTGCCAGTCCTGGGGCTTGAACTCAGAGCCTGGGTGTTGTCCTTCACCTTCTTTTACTCAAGGCTAGCACTCTACCACTTTAAGCCATGCCAGATCTGGTTTTCTGGTGGTTAAGTGAAGAGTCTCCTGCCCAGGCTGTCTTCAAACCGTGATCCTCAGATCTCATCCTTCTGAGTAGCTAGGATTACAGGCATGAGCCATCAGTGCCCAGCTTAAGGTGTCTTTTAATGACTCTATGGAACCACTTTTGTTTATACTCTGAATATGTTATGAAACAAATTGTTTCCAACTATTTCTTTCCATTGTCTAGATGCTTGTTCCTTTACTATTGTTCCCTTATTATTATTCCTTTATTGTTAGCACCAAAGGTTTTTAATTTGATGAAGTCTAGTTTTGTGTCTTGTTCTTTTGGTAGGTTTCTGAAGCCTGGCTAATCAGAGGTCAGGAAGATTCCCTATATTTTTCTTCTAAGAGTTTCATACTTTTCACTCTTACCATCAAGTTTTGGATCCATTTTGAGTTAATTTCAGTGTTACGAATGAGGTGCAGACACAACTTGTTCTTTTGGCTATGATTATCTAGTATCCTGGCACTGTTTGTTGAAAACAGTATACCGACCACTAAATTATCCTGTCCAGAGTTTATTGGCCATAGACTTGTTTCTGGACTGTCAGTTCTATTCATTGATTTGTGTTCGGATCCCTTATCCCAACACCCCCACAGTCTCAATTACTGGAGCTTTGAAATAAGTTTTAAAATTGCGAAGTGTGATTTATTCAGCTTTGCTTTTTTCAAGATTGACAATTCTAGCTGGACTCCTTACAATTCCATATGGATTTTAGGATTACAATGCCAGTTTCTTCCAGAATTTAGATTTTGCTTCAGTTTTAATTGGATTTTAATTGTCCATCTGTTGACCTTGTAGGTCAGTTTGCCATCTTGAGTCTTCTGGTCTATGAACATAAGTATTTTTCCATTTACTTTTACATTTTTTTCCCCAAAGAGGTTTTATAGTTTTTGGTGACAGTCCTTCTCATTTGTTACAGTTATGCATATTTGATGCTATTGTGAAAGTAATTACTTTCTTAGGTTTTAATATTCATAGTGATAGAAATGCAATTAATTTTGAAATATTGGTCCTGTGTCCACCAACCTTGCTAAACTATTTATTTTGGGTTTTTGTTTTTTTACACTTTAATTTTGGAGGGAGTTACATTTCCACATTTACAATCTATTCCAATCTCTTTGGTCCGTGGGCTTTTCAGATTTTTTTTGTTCAGAAGATCATATCTGTAAGTTGAGCTTGTTTAACTTTTTTTCCATCCTAAATGTCTCTTCAGCTTCCTGGCTAGACTCTCTGGTACAGTATAAGTAAAGTACAACTGGCAAGATGAGCCATCCCTATATTATTGTTCACCTTCTATGAGAAAATCATGCAGAATTTGATTGTGGCCACTCACTCAGCTTTCTTGCTCATGGGAAATGCCCTACCCCTTGAGCCATACCTCTAGCCCATGTTTTTTGCTAGTTAACTGAGAGATAATGAAAATATGGTATTAGCTGTGATTTTTTTCTCATATCACTTTTTTCAGAGTTGAAAATATTTTCTTTTCATAGCTTGTTGAGCTTTTTTTTTGGGGGGGGTCCAGTTGTGGGGCCTGGACTCTGGGCCTGGGTGCTGTACCTCAGCTCTTCAGCTCAAGGCTAGCGCTCTACCACTTGAGCCACAGCACCACTTTCGGCTTTTTTTTTTCTGCTTATGTGGTGCTGAGGAATCAAACCCAGGGCCTCAAGCATGCAAGGCAAGCGCTCTACCACTGAGCCACCTTCCCAGCCCTTGTTGAGCATTTTTATAATGAAAAGGTGTTTTGTTATTTGTTGCCTTTGATTTATTGAAATGAGTTCATTAGTTCTCAGACCAAATCTGCATGGCTCACTTGGCCATACTATATATTCCTTTTTACATTTTGTCAGATTTAGTTTGCTACTTTTTGTTGTTGTTGTTTTGGGGGAGGGGTTGTTATTGTGGGGGGGGAATTGGGGTTTATTTTTTGCCAGTCTTGGGGCTTGAACTCAGGGCCTAGGCGCCTGAGTCTATGCTTGAGGCTAGCGCTCTACCACTCCACAGTGCTACTTCTGGCTTTTTCTAAGTAGTGTATTGAAGATAAGAGTCTCACAGACTTTCCTACCTGGGCTGACTTTGAACTCCAATCCTCAGATCTCAGCCTCCTAAGTAGCTAGGATTATAGGCATGCGCTACCAGTACTTGGCTAGTTTGCTACTTTTTTGTGCCAATAACAGGGTTTGAACTAAAGGATTCTTGCTCAGCTTTCTTGCTGAAGACTAGTGTTATACTACTAGTTTTTGTGAGTTGATTGGGAGAATTGGCTTTTCTGCCCAGGCTGACTTAGAAGCACAAACTTTCAGGTCTCGGCTTCCTGAATAGCTAAGATTTGCAGGCATGAACCACTAATACCTTAATTTGCTACTAAGTTGGGGATGTTGTGACTTTTTTTTTGTCAGTGGTGAATCTTAAACTCAGGTCCTGAGCTCTGTCCCTGAGCTCTTTTGCTCAAGGCCAGTGCTCTATCACTTTCAGCCATATCACTTTTGGTTTTCTGGTAATTAATTAAAGATAAGAATCTCACATACTTTCCTGCCTGGGCTGGCTTTGAACTGCAATCTTCAAATCTCACCCAGCTTCATTACTCACATTTACAATGAATGTGTTACTTTTATAGTCTGGGGGAGGGGAGAACACATTAAAAATTAATAATGAAACCAGACACCAGTGCCTTCACATCTGTCATCCTAGCTACTCAGGAGGCTAAAACTGAGTCGTGGTTTGAAGCCAGTACAGGTAGGAAAATCCATGAGATTCTTATCTCTAATTAACCACCAAAAAGCAGAAAGTAGAGCTGTGGCTCAAGTGGTAGAGTACTAGCCTGGCGCAAAAAAAGGTCAATGACAGCACCTAGGCCCTGAGTTCAAGCCCTAGCATTAACCAAAAAAATAAAGAATACAGGCACTGGTGGCTCACACCTAAAATCCTAGCTACTCTGGATGCTGAGATCTAGGACCATGGTTCAAAGCTAGCCCAGCAGGAAAGTCCTTGAGACACTCATCTCCAATAAACCATCAGAAAACCAATGTGGCACTGTGGCTAAAGTGGTAGAGCACTAACCTTGAACTGAAGAGCTCAGGGACAGTGCCCAGGCCCAGAGTTCAAGCCCCATGACCGACAAATATAATTAAATAAAATGAAGAGAAGAAAACTAACTCCAAAACCTTCTTTAATGTTAGGCTCAGATGAAGGATTATCAGCGTGAATTAGAAGAGGCCCGAGCATCCCGAGATGAGATTTTTGCTCAGTCCAAAGAGAGTGAAAAGAAACTGAAGAGCCTGGAAGCAGAAATCCTTCAACTGCAGGAGGTTGGTTTACTTTGTTATCCATTTGTTCTACAAATACTTGGCCTAGAAATTTCTCTAAGAGTAAATATTTTTAATATCTTTATAAACTAGTATACTGTAGCTTCTCTCTCTCCCCTCTCCTTTCTCTTCTCTCTCTCTCTCTCTCTCAATTGTCAAGGCAGGGGGTAGTACTGCAGTTGGAACTCAGAGATTGCTAGGCTGGCACGCTACCATTTGAGCCACTCCTTCAGCCCTCTTCTTCACTGGTTATTTTTAGGATAGGGTCTCATTTCCACCCACTTTATGGAGTATTGTAGTTGCTGGATCACAGGCCGGGCTGCCATGTCCAGCTTCTCTCTGTGGAGATGAAATCTCTTGACTTTTTCATTTCTCCACCTCCTTAGTAGCTAGGGTTAAAGGTGTGAGCCTCTGGCACCCGTTTTCAGCAATCATTGCTTCAACGAAGAGAAAGATGTCAGGCTTTGACTCTCTCACGAATATTCCTCTACCTGGCTGAAGCTTTGCAGAGGGGCTGATTAGTAATTTGTCAAGCCACTTTCTAGGCCTTGTTCCCTGGGTGAGAAGAGGGTCACTTGCATTTTAGAGTTGGTAAGCATAGGATCAATTATCCCTGAGTGCTCTCTCTCTCTCTCTCTCACACACACACATACACACACACACACACACACACTCATGTGATACTTGAGAAAAGTATCTTTCATTGAATTCCTGAGTGAATCTTCTTATAATCAATTACTCTTTTGTTTCTTTTGTAACTTCCTGTGGCAAATATTATACATAATATAAAATATTATACTTGTGAGACATGTTTAAATATGTATATTTCCTTTTTGTATGGTTTGGTTTGGTCGTTCATGGGCCTGAACTCTGGGCCTGGGCACTGTCCCCAAGCTCTTCAGCTCAAGGCAAACGCTCTACCACTGGAGCCACAGCACCGCTTCCTGTATATTTCTATGTAAATGAGAAATGATCAAAACCTATACAAACCTAGAAAGATAACCTGAAGTAACTATGAAAAAGCTCCCCATATAGACAATGCTGTCTAAACAACTACTGAAAGCCAGGCTGAGCTGACATGACATTCCTGCATGTCAGGAATAAAGAACTAAAAGCCAGATCAGTATACACTGAGCAGACTGAGATTACCTGACAGCTAGCTTTAGATCCTCTTTGTTTTTTACTCTCTTTATTGCCTTCAGGGTTTTTTCCCCCTTTCTTTCCCTCCCCCAATCCCATCCCACTTCTATGCTAGAGACAGAAGCCAGGGCTTCGAGCACACTAAATTTAATACTCATGGCCACTAAGGTCCACCCAGCCTCCTTTTTTTGACTTTTGGACTCTTGGATCATCAGCTTTCAAGCTTTCTCTTTCAGCATCAAAGACCATAATCCCTCTTAAGCTCTGTTTTCTTCATTCCACAAATCCTGATATAGAGGGGGTGGGGGCGTTAATTCTAGTTCATATGGTGCTTAAAGAACATTGAATGGCTCTAGAGTCCAAAACATAGCTAGGTTTGGGGGTTTTCTGGTTTTGTTTTTTTGGTGCCAATCCTGGGGTTTGGACCAGGGCCTGGGAGCTGTCCCTGAGGGGTTTTTTGGATCAAGGCTAGCACTATACCCTTTGAGTCTTACAGCTCCACTTCTAGCCTTTTGGTGGTTAATTGGAGATAAGAGTCTCTCTCATGGACTTTTCTGCCGCAGCTGGCTTTAAACCCGAGTAACTAGGATTACAGGGGTGAGCCACCAGCATCAGGCTCCAGTTTGTATTGGATAGCAGATGTTTTTCCTCAATGACTCAGTGTTTGAGCTCTGGACATCCATTGCGGTGTTGACCTGAAGCATCCTTAGCTAGTAGACAGGAACCCAGTGAGCTTTTGGTACTGAGAAGAATGAACATCAGAGGCCAGATGGCCTGCAATGTGTGGCCCTCAGATCAGGTGCAAAGCATTCTGCCAACTGCCATTTTTCCATCCTGACCCCACCTGCCCTAATTCTCAGGTTCTGTGCCATAATGTGGCCCTTGCAGAGGCTTTAGCTCCCAGGCACTGACAGAGAGCAGGTGGACATGGTGGAGCGCCCTTGGCACTCCTGGGCCACCCTGCCCTCACACAGCTTCAAGATGCACTCTCTTTAGACATGACATCTCTGGAAGGGGAAGCTGATGGGAGGAGTCCTGGACAGGAGTCAGGAACCTGGTGCGCTGCTGACCATCCTTGGAATCGGGCCCAGTCCCCTCATCCATGTGGGCCTTCTTCCAAATCCATCAGACAAAGGAGACTATGCAGCTCTTAAATCCTAAGGCCATGAGCACAGCTTATTCCGAGATGGGGAGAGACTCCCCCCATCCCCACCCCAACTCTTGACAGTTTTTGTCACAAATTGCGTTTCCCAGGTGCCCAGGCCTGAGAGGTATTGCCACCCTGACCCTCATTGTTCTCCATGTCCAAAGTGTGTATATGGAACATAGTTCTAGATCATTACTATCATTTGGGGTAGCACAAATTTGGGGTTCATTGGAACATATTTGCTGGGTTTATATTTTTTAAAAAGAAAAAACAACACTGGCATTCGAGGATGGTATAATAAAGCCAGCTTCTACCATGGAAATGACAGTGAATCCTGTAATACGGGGTCTCCCCTAGATGGGTTTTCATTTGAGGTGGTGTACCTCCACATCCCCTGCTGGCCTCTCATTTTCTTCGGTAAGCTTGCCAGCTTCACTTACCACTGCTGAGCGTCATGTGAGCAACAACCCCTGCTCCAGTGGGTGAAGGGGCCAAATGGCCTGAGCCTAACTCCATCTGCACTCATTTAGGAGCTGGCCTCGTCCGAGCGTGCCCGCCGCCACGCCGAGCAGGAGCGAGACGAGCTGGCTGATGAGATCGCCAACAGCGCTTCTGGCAAGTGAGTGTCCCGGCAGCAGGCAGGGCGGCTATGCCCACCCTTCCTCCCCAGTGCCCTCAGACCAGTGCCATCTGCAGACTGCATCCACCTAGCTTCACAAACGCTGCTTCTCATTCATTGATTCATTTGCTTGCAAGCAGCTTTCTTAGCCAGGACCTGTCTCTGAAGTCATTTTTTCTGTCTTCTTTCCTGCTCTGCTGCTTTACTGTATTAAGCATGCATCCTATACACTTCCTAGCATGCCATGATGGAATTGGAATCTAAGTGCCCTGGGAACACACTGGCTTAAGGGAGTGTGGAGATCTTGGTTACATTGTGAAAGTGAACTCTGCCTGCCATCACAGCAGCAATCAGCTGGGGGGAGGCAGAGGAGACAGCAGGAGGTCACTGGGAGGCCGGGCCAGGACCAGGCCAGCAGCCTCCTGCGGGGAGATATCTGAGTGGGGGTCAGAAGGGAGAATCAGTGGGACTTGTGCATAGATTTGGGGACAGGGGCAGGGAAAGAGCCATCAGGAGTGACGTTCCTTTGAGCAGCAAGGTGATGGAGGGGTCTCACACACACACACACACCCTTCCCCCTCACCTACCAGGTCTGCACTGCTGGATGAGAAGCGGCGACTGGAGGCTCGGATCGCACAGCTGGAGGAGGAGCTGGAGGAGGAGCAGAGCAACATGGAGCTGCTCAATGACCGCTTCCGCAAGACCACTCTGCAGGTAACCATGTGGTGGCCTTCTCCCCCCCTCCCCCCCCCGGAGGGCCCACACCTCCTCCGCCCTCACACAAGTGACGAGCCCTCTCCCCTCCCAGGTGGACACACTGAACACAGAGCTGGCAGCCGAGCGCAGCGCTGCCCAGAAGAGTGACAACGCACGTCAGCAGCTGGAGCGGCAGAACAAGGAGCTGAAGGCCAAACTGCAGGAGCTGGAGGGGGCCGTCAAGTCCAAGTTCAAGGCCACTATCTCAGCCCTGGAAGCCAAGATCGGGCAGCTGGAGGAGCAGCTGGAGCAGGAAGCCAAGTAAGAGGTTCCAGCAGCTCTCAGCCAAACCGCGCTGCACCTCCATGCCACACAGATGCGTGCACCTTACCCTCAGGGCAGTCCCCAGAGCAAGGGAGGTGACGGAGCACAGATGTGTGGCCACTGTGGGCAGTGCGAGGTGCTGGGACTCTCACAGGAAGTGCTCAGCAGTGCTGAAGGCTTGGGAAGTGGCTGTCAGGCTGAGCATTGCCCACTAGCTTCCCCTCCACTCAGCTGGGGTGACTGTACTAGGCCCCACAACTGCCTAGACCGAATCAGCCTCCTGCTACTCTTTGTTGGCAGAAAAGAAATGCAGTGGGAGGGATCAGCACATTTCCACTCTGTGTGTGCCAAAGCCATCAGAGCTGCAGCCAGCCTTCCGATGCACCTTCCTCTTGCAGGGCTTGGAATCCAGAAATGCAGGACCCCCACTCAGAGCCCATTATCCTCCAACCCAGCATCCCAGTGCTGCCTGCCACTGCTCTTAAAACTCCCAGCCAAAATCAAACAATTAAGGATTTGGTTTTAGTTGCTATTAACATAATTTTCCCTTTTTTTTTTGGGGGGGGGGCCATGGGGCTTGAACTCTGGGCCTGGGCACTGTCCTTAAGCTCTTCAGCTCAAGGCTAGGGCTCTACAATTTGAGCCACAGCGCCACTTCTGGTTTTCTTGTGGTTAATTGGAGATAAGAATCTCATGGACCTTCCTGTCCAGGCTGGCTTTGAACCTCGAACCTCAGATCTCAGCCTCCTGACTAGCATGAGCTACCGGCACCCAGCTAATTCCCTTTTAAATGACTTCACAGCTATGTGTTTTTTGGGGGGGTGTTTTGTTTTGGTCGGTCGTGGGGCTTGAACTGTGGGCCTGAGCGCTGTCCCTCAGCTCTTCAGCTCAAGGCTAGCACTCTACCACTTGAGCTACTGCGCCACTTCAAAGAGTATTGCCAGATGTGGTATACACTTGTAATCTCAGCACTGAGCCAGGAGAGCTGCAAGTATAAGCCAGTATGGGCTATATATCAACACCCTGTCTCATAAACAAATGAACAAAAAAAAAGTATATTCAGTGTAACTGACAGGTAACTTAGATGTCACATCATGTTCAGTAAATGCCAGTGGCTCATGCCTGTAATTCCAGCTACTCAGGAGGCTGAGATTTGAGGATCGAAGTTTAAAGCCAACTGAGGCAGACCAATCCAGAGACTCTTAACTCCAACTCACCACCAAAAAAGCCAGAAGTAGCAGTCAAAGTACAAGGCCCTGCATTCAAGCCCTCATATCAGCACACAAAAGAAGAAAAAAATAAAAAACAAAAGAGCTTACTGAATAAAATGATGAATTCCTGCATGCACAAATTAATATGCTTTCTCTCCCAGTAAGTACTGAGGGATACATTATAGACACATTTATCTTACTGGTCTGAGAACATAGGTCAAAAAAAGGACCATCTTCCAAAGAAAAGGACTTTTAACAGGTATTTGCCCCTTTGAAAATACAATTTTGAGCATGTAATCCCAGCAGTCTGAAGATCTGAGAATGGCAAGTTCAAGTCCTGCTGAGACTTTGTCTCAAATATACACATATTTCCCAGAGCTTCAAAAGTACTATGCTCACTTCCACAGGGAACGAGCCGCAGCCAACAAACTAGTCCGTCGTACAGAGAAGAAGCTGAAAGAAATCTTCATGCAGGTGGAAGATGAGCGGAGACATGCAGATCAGTACAAGGAGCAGGTCTGTATTCACCCCAGGCGTTCCTAGGTGATAAAGTGAGCGCTGAGCACTGGTGAGGGAAGCTTTGCAGCCTGACCTATCCTGAATGCTTCCTCTCTGGTACTTAAAATAGTTGCACGACAGTAAGTGGTCAGCACAGTAGCTCACAGTAGCTCCTCGCTACTCAGGAAGCTGAGATCTGAGGATCATGGTTCAAAGTTAACCTGGGTAGGAAAGCCTGTGAGACTCTCACCTCCAATTAACCACCCCAAAGCCGCAAATAGAACTATGGCTCAAAGTGTGCCAGCCTTGAACCAAAAATGCTCAGGATGGCACCTAGGCTGAGTAAAATCTGAATACCAGCACCAAAAGCAAAGCCTTTGAGCAGCCTACAAACATGTGTGTTTGATGCATGCGATGGGGGCACACACTGCACTCACTGCTTGTGTTCTCTCTGTTGGTTTCCAATATCCCAAGATGGAGAAGGCGAATGCCAGGATGAAGCAGCTTAAACGCCAGCTGGAAGAAGCTGAAGAGGAGGCAACACGCGCCAATGCATCTCGGCGTAAACTCCAGCGGGAACTGGACGATGCCACTGAGGCCAACGAGGGCCTGAGCCGTGAGGTCAGCACGCTCAAGAACCGGCTGAGGTGAGTGCTGGCCAGGACGGAGGGCTCCCCAGATTGCAATCCAACATCCCTTCATTCAAGATAGCTGAGCTTTGGAGTCGTGCATGGGAGGAAGATAGAGGGCCAGGCCTGCTCACGAGCGAACCAACATACCACACAAAGCTGGCACGCCCAGCCCAGTGTCCGTCCATGTGCACATGACCATGTGAGAGGACAAGGCCCATTCGAACCCAGGGCCCTACCACCTTGCTCAGCACACGAGAGCTAAAGCCAAACCCGCTCCAAGAAAAGCAGCTGGGAGCCAGAGTCAGTTAACATCTGGCCAGCATTTTCCACCCATGTCCAGCAAGCTATGAGCGGTTTTTATATTCTGAAAGGAAATAAAATACAAGTGGCAGAGGCCCTGTGTGACCCACAAGATGTAAGGATTTGCAGTCCGGCCGGTTTAGGGGAAAAGGCTGGGGAGGGGGTGGAGTTTTGCGCCATTCCTCTTCCATGTCCCCAGTTGAGTCAGGCTGTCCCAAGGTCTCAGGACCTGCCCCATGTTCACTGTGTAGGGTGGGGAGATGGTGGAGTAGAAGTGGACAGTAGCACCCCTCCAGCCACCTGCTCCTGTGCATTTACCCACACGGGCCTGCTTTCTGCTCTCCCAGACGGGGCGGCCCCATCAGCTTTTCTTCAAGCCGATCTGGCCGGCGCCAGCTGCACATCGAAGGGGCCTCCCTGGAGCTGTCCGATGATGACACAGAAAGTAAGACCAGTGATGTGAATGAGGCGCAGCCGCCGCAGTCGGAGTAGAACAACAGAGAAGGCAGAGGCGGCAACGCAGCAGGACGCACAGGAACTCACCCGGCACTGGTCTGCCTGGGGCCTGCAGGCCTGCCCGGGGCCTCCACCTCCAACAGGTTTAGGAATCGGCAGGCTCCAGAATTCCTCGCAGAGAGATCAACTGTGTCTTAAGGCCTTCCAGCCTGCACAGACAGTATCCTGCTTCAGATTAGGTACAATTGCTCCCCTTTTTATATATATACCTACCCAGCACACCTGTTAAACAGATTGTCTCATCGTTGCATCTATTTTCCATATATTCATCAAGAGACCATTTTATAATCCATGTTAAGAAGAGAATCCTTTTTCAAACCAACTCCAGGCCCTTCGTTGCCAGTCGCTGGGCCGTGGGGACAGCCCCGTGGTTGTGGCTCCGTCGCCCTGCATGCTCTGTCCTCCAGACAGGTAATTTAGTTTTGTGTTCACGTGGCCCTGACTCCTCCGCCACATCCAGTCTCTTAGAACATTGTGGAAACCTAACCTGCACTCGTATCTCTCATTTCCTCCGAATAATGATCACTACTTCAGTGAGCAAACTGTGAATAGGGCTTTGGAACGATTGGGAGGGGTGGGCCGGATTAGAGCAGCAGCATCTATTTGGGGCTACCCTGTGCACCTCCCCAGGGGGGAAAGGGGGCCCTCCCCACATCTCATGTGAATGGTCCTTGGCCGGGACCGTCCTCCCTAGGGAGGGTAGTGGCCATCGCACGGCTGAGGACACTGGGGGCCATCCCAGTGGCTTCCAGGTGGCCCCCTGGTGTCCCCCTTACCAGTGCCCTCCTCGCCTCAGGAGCCAACAGCCACGGGGCCCCGGGGCCTCAGGCTCGCCAAAGGCCCTCCCCCGCCAGCCAGGCCCTCATGCTGACCTGGCAAATTCAGCCACTGCTTTGAGTCCAAAATGGGAATCTTGATTCTGTGTCCGAGGCTTGCTCCAAGTGCGTGCTGAGGTCCTCAAGAACAGACGCCATCTTCTGGAACACTGACAATGCCAGTGGGTGTGAATCCTTCGTTTTCCTTTGCACAGTGTTACAGTGCACACTTTAGCATTCTGTTTCTTTGGTTGATAGTTGAGCAAACTGACATTACAGAAAGTGCCTTAGACACTACAGTACTAAGACAATGTTAAATATATTATTTGCCTCTGTAACAATTTAATGTATTCAGTTTTGACTGTGCTTCATAACATGTACCTCTCTAGTCAAAGTAGTATTATAAACATTCAGTGACAATGAATCAGTGTTAATGAAAAAAAAAATCCTTGATCCTCTGCAATGTGCTTGAAAACACAAACCTTTTGGGTTAAAAGCTTTAACATCTGTTAGGAAGAATTGTCACGTGGGTTTGGAATCTTGGATTTCCCCTGGATGAATTGTACTGGCTGTTCACCACCAGACACCTGACTGCAAATATCTTTTCTTGTATTCCCATATTTCTAGACAATGATTTTTGTAAGACAATAAATTTATTCATTATAGATATTTACGCCTGCTCTGTTTACTTGGAGGAAAAAAGCACCCGTGGAGAATAAACAGACCTCAATAAACAAGAATAATCATGTGAACGTGGAATCTGTTTTTCTCACCTTCTGTTCTTGGTTTCCCTTGTGGGGCCTGAGTAGAGGGGGATTAGCTACAGGGAGCTTCACACACACTTTACAAGAAGCCAGGCCCATCAGAGTCTCCTAGAAACAGGCAGACTGACAGTTGGCTCAGTCCAGTGTCTCACCAATGGCTCCTGGTAAGTGGTATCAGAGGAAAAGAACTCAGCGTTAGGGTGTGTGCCTTAGCCTGTACTAGGAAAAGAGGTTAGACTTCTTCCCAGTGGCAGCCACATGAGCAGTGGACCAAAGTGGGTGGTGTTCTGGTATTAGCCACATTCTCACCCCTGCACAGTCTCTTAGTCTGGAAGTTCATGGATGTAGGAGGCAGTTTGTCTGGTCCTTTCCTACTGTCTGGGTTCACTGGTATCCATGTCAGTTTCCCAGCCACTCAGCTGGCCAAAAGAAGATCTCCATGGACTGATTTCCAGTTCCTTTCCTCACTGAGTTTTCAGTTAGCAATAATCATGCTTCAGATAGACCCCATTGGCTATGATACTACCACCGTGCAAAGCTCTTCACTAAAACCACCATTTCATGATCAAAGGAAAAGCTTAAAAACTGTGTTGGGCATTTACAGCCTGAGGTAACTGGTTTATCACAAGTGAACTCTGTGTACCATAAAGCCAAAGCAGTTTGGATAAGGCAGCACTGTGCTCTTTATTTAAAATGCAATCAGCTTGGTGCCAGTGTCTCAGACCCGTAATCCTAGCTACTCATGAGGCTGAGATCTAAGGATCACAGTTTGAAGCCAGACCAAACAGGAAAACCTGTAACTCTCTACCCAAAAAAGCCAGAAGTAGAGCAGTGGGCTGAAGAGGTAGATTGCTAGCCGTAAGTGAAAAAGCTCAGGGACAGCATCTACGCTTGAATTCAAAGCCTCAGGAATAGCACAAAGAAGAAATGCAGATAGTCCAAGGGATTATTACAAAATGCTTTGGTAAGGCTAATAGCTATCTCTCCCCAACTAGCCTGCAGATGCATTTCCATATCATTAAAAAAGATTGTAAAGCCCTTTAATTTCTTCCTGGGAACATTGGGCATGAATTATGCTTTCTAAAGGCAAGCTAGTCTCTGGTTATGACTGACCCTCCCCTACAGCCAGTGTGGCCAAGGGACAAATGTGTCCATGTCAAGATGGGAAGAAAAGCTCTGGGACTCACCCATTCCTGCACTTTCCTCACCCATTTAAGTCGCACACACACACACACACACACACAGAAAAGCTTTGGAAGTCCATGTTACTACTTCAGCTGATTTCTTTAAAAATGAAGTTGGGCAACTAGAGAGAAGAGTGTAGAATCCACAAAATTAAACCACTTGCATTCTTCCCATTTCATTTCATTTAAAATAATAAAGTACCAGCTCGCATGTTCTCTGGTCTGTGCTCTGCCCGTCGGTCACTTCCTGCCTAGTGTATTAATGGGGCATTATCCTGATCATTCTCTGCCATTGAATACTGACGTTTGTTTCATTAAAGTTTAGTTTAGCCTATTTGTTCTTACGATCATGGGGTATTATCCTAAAGGTAAGAGTTTTAAAAGTTTACTTCACATAGTTAGGTTCATTCAAAACCCAGGATGATCAGTGAAGTAGAAGAGGTCCTGTCCCTAGATTATAGGTGACAATAGGCTGAATGGTATCTCCTAATTAAAACAATCATCTCTTTGGAAGCAAAACAAGGGTTTCTTAGCTCCACCCTCTACTAATAGGAGCAGCAGTTTCTACATCTTTACTCAAATATGTTCTAGAAAACTTACTACCCAGGCTTTCAGCCAGTCAACTTTACCTAGAGCCCTCCCTCCTTCCAGGCCTCCTGCTGAAAACACAAGTCCATACAGAATCTCCGCATTGTGTGTCAGTGGAGACTGCAGGCAGACAGGCCCATGTGTATCACACCTGTCTCAGCAGAGGCTTCCCAAGGGCAGACGGGAGATGCTAGCAGAACGCCTGTGAATGCAGACCAATTCCAAATCACAGTCACACCACAATCCCATCCAGCCCCAACACAAGCACTTTCACATTTGTGCTTTCAAATTGGCCTCTTCCTATGCACCTATAAAAGAAGTCTGTTCTATTCATAAATACTGTTATGTCTTTACTCCATGCCTATAATCCTAGGTACTCAGGAAGCTGACATCAGAGGATCATGGTTCAAAGCCAGCCTGGGCAGCAAAGTCTGTGAGACTTTTATCTCCAATAAACCACCAGAAAACAAAATGGAGCTGTGGCTCAAAGTGTGAGAGACTCTTATCTCCAATAAAACATCAAAACTGGAAACGGAGCTGTAGCTCAAAGTGCTAGCCTTCAGCAATAGAGTTGAGAGACAGCAACCAAGCCCTGAGTTCAAGCCCCACAACTGACTCACCCCCCCAAAAAAAACCCTCCTGTATTATATACATTTTTAATATTCGTGGGGCCACTTTTCAGATAAAGACTTTAGACATAAAATTACTTATAAAGGTAACTCCTTTCTCCCTACTCGTTGTTAGTAATGAATCAAATAACATCTCTTCTTAAGACCAAGCTTACGTTTCAAACTCATTTAACTTTGGGGAAAAATAGAGGAACACAATCCAAAAACACTCAAATGCTTATTAGTGAAAACTACTACTAGGCTCCCGTCCACTTTCTGGCATGTTCTCTTCCAGCTGCCATGCTGCTTGCTCAGCTTTAATCGAGGTGATCGCCACCTCAACTACCTCCTGGAAGGGCCAGCTTCCACTCTGGCTCAGCAGACTGCTAATTACACCTCTAGAGGTGTAACCTCTCCATGTTGAGAAGAAAGGGGACTGGGGAGCAGAGTTCCTCCTAAACAAAGCTATGCAGAGGCCACAGCTTGCCACAGCTCATCACTTCTTTCAAACTCTGCTCTTCTCCTGAGGGGCAGGTGGGAGAGGCACAGTAGAAAAGGATGCTGGGCCTGCTTCCTGTTCTGGCTTTGCTCTGCGCTAGTGTACAGGTGCAGGCAAGGCCAACCCTAGGCACACGGTCCTGCGTCAGCGAACAGGAAAGGCAGCTCAGCCACTTCTACGCAGTGCTCATGGACTTTGCACAATTCAAGCTCCAGCGTAGGCACCAGGCTCCGGGCTGAGTTGTTGGTGGGTAACTATGTGACCACTCGGGCTCTCCTCCTGCAGGAAGGTGTTTGGGGAGGGAGGCAAGAGGCCATGTTTCACCACCTGCAGATCACGACACAGGGGACACAACCCCCGCTGGGGGACATCTGCCATGACCGCCAGTGGCTGGCCCACCAAGAGAAAAGAACGATCCTCGACGAAACTTCGGAGGACACTGAGCAGCAATGGTCCCGCCACATCCTGAGCTCGGCCTCCAACGTTGAGAGAGATGAACTCTACCTGGCTCTCCCAGGGCCCGGCCTTCGGGGGCTGGAGGGCGGGGAAAGCGGGCACTAGCACTCCAGGCCCCGAGCCCGCCGATCCCGGGCCTCGGGTGCCCTCCCTGCCTCCACCCGCCACGGGGACAGAGGAAGGCCCTAACGGCCCTGGAAGGTGAGCGGGTGCAACGGTCGGCGGCCCGGGGCCGTTGGGCCGGTGTCCCGGAGGAACCCTGGAGTGACACCGCGGGGGTCTGGCGGCCGCTTGTAGGGGGTGGGGTGGGGGGATGTCTGGCGTGGGACTTGAACTCGGGGCCAGCGCGCTGTTCCCGAGCTCTCTTGCACAGGGCTGGTTGCTTTACTACTTGGAGCCACAGCGCCGCCCGTGGCTCACGCCTGTCATCCTAGCTGCTCAGGAGGCTGAGAT